TCATACATAGATAAAAGCAATTTTCTCGAGACCTGCATGTTTGCCGAAGTACAACATTGGTGTTTTATCATTGAAATGGATCCACTCAATATATAATGAAATCAAAATTTGGTCTCCGTGGGGGGGAAACGAAACTTGCTTTCCAGCTTCATTCTCGCGAGTGGCTGATGGCCTAATTGTTGCAATCCAACATCATTTTTACACAATCCTTAGGCCAGCATGTTTCATACGTCGCACTATCGTCGAATTTGATTCGGACGAATTTAATTGAACGAATTAAATGCGACGGTAGTACATCGTTTGAAACGGATTACATTCGTCTGATGAATTACAATCGTCCAAGACCTTCTGTCCATCATGGTCAGATGGATACGACGTCTGTAGCGAGTCTTTGTTTCATTCGACGTGTTATCGTCGTGTTGAATTAAATGCATAAATCATGTTAAAGTTTGTTTCTGTGTTACTGATATCATCAGGGCTGCAAATAAATATTTGACTCGACAGGACATTCGTCCGATCACTTTTAATTTTCGTCGGTCATATATACGTCACAAGATATTAGATATATGTAAGTCACGAGACAAGTATGTACAGGCAAACTCACTCAGGTGAGTTCCTTGGTTTGCTAGGCTAATATAGACTGTTCCTTAAGGTAATTTACATTTACGTAGTCTGGATGCACTAACTTCTATGGCCAGCAATATCCGTCTGTATCTTGATTGGAAAGGTGTGGCGAAATGTGAACTATTTTGTTTTAAAAACTTTGAATTGCATATTGTTTGTAGAAACATCTACTGAAAAATAATATTCTGCTACTTTATTTAAATCATACAATACATGTTTGACGCTAAAATTCATTGAAGAAACGTGCACCAAAATACACTTAGCTTTTCATATGGCGGGATATCGAGCGAAAATGCCGCCGTGATCTAAAAAGTAACGTCAGAGTTGTCCCAACATCGCGACGTTTTGTATTCCAATCAACCATTTGACCGATCTTATCGACATAGGCGGCGGAACTGGAGAATGGTTTTAGTATAGGTAATAGCCTGGTTTCGAGTTCAATTTGGATATAACATGCACGAGTGAGTTTTTCAAAGACCTTATCTAAAGGAATTAAGTGTTTTTATGTTTTTGAAACAAAAATATTTAGTCAGTCGATAAACTGAAAATCGCCTATTAAAAAATCGTCGAAAAGTATGGTTTCAAAAGCGTTGCCTCAAGCTTAAGCAACGTAAAAAAATACAAAAAGTAGTTGTGTTAGTTTAAATGGATCATTTAACTGCGTTTATATTATACATTTAAATTTTTTTAGAACATTCTTGTTGAGTTTGAGTTTGTCTTGATCTTTCGTGTTTTGTTTTGGCTTGCACAACAACGTTAAAAATGTATTTTTAAACGACGATTTCCGTATATATTGTGTTCAGAGCTATGGTTTCTCGTAAAAATACTGGAATGGGTTTTCTTTTTTGCAAAACCTTTTTTCAACTTAAGTCTCCCTATAATTTTTTTTGGAAAACTTTGTTGGAAGAAATTGTTCGCACACCCTGCAACCTTGCGAATTTCCTTGCCGCAGGAGTCTGGGACTAGCCAAAATGCCCTTGTAAATCCGCCATTTTGTGGAGACAAAATTTTTACTGAAAAGAGGAGCAGACATTCTATGTCTTTTGTTTCTATGGGGAGGACTAAGCCAACCCCATCTCCAAAAACGGGTAAGATTCGAACTATATACACAGGTGGATTTGAGAATATTATAATGTATTTGAAAGTATTTGTCAGCAAATTATTATATATAAAATTTAAACATTTGAAGTTGTTTTTGCCTGAACATCATATGCTGTGAGGAACGTCGCTGGGGAAGGGGGGGGGGGTGACAACTTTCTTGAAAACGTCTTCTCGGTAAAATAATAGATTTGCCGGCAAATTGTTTACGTTATCGTGATATTCATTTGCGAGATATATACCCAATAACCGTACGTTAACTGGAAATTGAATCTAAAAATGTTATGTCCGGAACCAAACCAAATTAACTAATTTGTTTTCCTAACTCTCCCCCTCTCCTAGAATTTTGCAATTTCGGGAAATAAATGTTAATTAACGACTAAAACCTTGTCGGCAAATGCAATACTACCCACCCCCTGTTTTGCTTCTCCGCAAAATCCCGCTTTAATATAGAATGTAATCATCTGCGCAGACTAGTAAATGGCCAGATAATATTCTAAATTTTGAGATGCGCCTGTATATAAAATGGGCACATTTACAGAATATATTCAAGAAAGATAAGTGAAAACCGATATGTCTGTTTAAATTATAATGTAAATATAAAGTATCAAATCCCACCTCCACCCCCCCACCCTTGTAGGAAAATATATAGGAATTACGCACCCTCCCAATATCTCCCCTCTCTTTGGAGTTGCAATGTAAAACCATCTCCACGACTCTTTTCAATCAAAGCGAGAAAGCCCCAAAAAATTAAACATAAATTTAACAAGGAAATACACAACGACTTTCTTCGTTGATCAGTTTTGATTGCTACCTTGCGCGACTCCCATCCTACCCATTTCAATCACTTATACCATTATTTATGCACTTTACAGGCTGCTGTTCTTGATAAAGAATTAAATGCAATCACTTCATGTTTCTGGATTAAATCGCAAAAACGTTCGTACCCCGCTGTGTTGTCATATGCAGTTCCCGGTGAAGATAACGAATTCCTCATATATTTGAATCCACTAATTACATTGATAATAAAAGGCCGCCAATTAAGGTAAGTAAATCTAGACCTGTTGCTTTCTATTAATGAATGTGTTTTCACCTCTGTTTGTTTGTTTGTTTGTTTGTTTGTTTGTTTGTTTGTTTGTTTGTTTGTTTGTTTGTTTGTTTGTTTTTTTGTTTGAATGTTTGTTTGAATGTTTGTTTGTTTTCTTGCTTTTTTGCTTGTTTGTTTGTCTGCTTGTTTGTTGGGCTGGGTTTGGTTTGGTTTGGTGTGGTTTGGGTTGGGTTGGGTTGGGTTTGGTAGGCTAGGATAGGGTAGCGTAGGGTTGGGCTGGGTTGGGTTGGTTGTGTTGGTTGTGTTTGTTGTGTTGGCTGGTTTGCATGTTGGTTTGGATGTTTGTTTTTGGTTTGTAGGTTTGTTTGTTTGTGTTTTGTGTCTATGTATGTGTGTGTGTGTGCCTGTATTTTGGAATACAATAAATGAGTTAATGTCCCGAAGCTCGAAATCTCAAAATATTTCTTCTCTGTTAATAAACAAAAAAGTAGTTACAAACAACACTGAAATAGCTGAATGTTTAAAACAAAGTATTTTCCTGAAATAAGGTGCAAATTAACAAACAACGTACCGCAATTTAGCAATGGGAAAGGTTTTCATCAATATGTGCAAAGAGCTGCCACTGAAACGATGTTTATATTACGCCCAACCACTTCGGATGAAGTTATTAAATTAATTTCCTCAATATCTGATAAAAAAGCTACTTGTCTAAACCATATTCCGTGTAAAATACTTAAACTCGCTGCACGTATTGTTTCGAAATCATTGTGCGATAGTTTTAATTTATTTATACTAGAAATACATGCATGCAATAACCCCTCGCCTGTTTTCAAAAGATGTATACTCAGTGCCGTTGCGAGCACTTCGTCTGAGGGTGTGTGTGGGGTTAGATAGACCTGGGGGGGGGGTTTACCAAAATGTTTCCAGATGTACAAAAAATTTTCAGGACATATAATAATTTTTCCGAAAATACAGTTGTTTTCCAAATTCACTTTCTCATGTCCTGAGAATAGCGAGGTTTAGCAAAGACGACGCGACGTCAACGAGGACGTGAAAATGGCGTGATATGCCCATCTATGGATGTGCCCACGCCGTTTTTACGCCATTTTCACGTCCTCGTTGACGTCGCGTCGTCTTTGCTAAACCTCGCTAATTACCTGAATTGCCCTGAAAATCTTCTGCAAATCTACTTAAATTTACCTAAAAGTGCACTGGAAATCTACCTGAAATTCCTCATGAGCAATTATCAGGGGTGTTGCCCCCCCCCCAGTGAGTTCCAAGCAAACACTCTCTGATTTATTGTTCGTGTATTTCACCTCCCAAAATATTGTGTATCATACTATAGAACATTTTGCTGTTGTCATGCTCTAGCATGGTTCAAATTTATGAATTTTTATTATATAAAGATAGTGTTTTACAGAGATTTCGAGCACTGATAAAAATGATAATCTCACATGTGAAATTATTCATGATAATCTCAGATGTGAAAATTATCGCCTTTTCAATTATCGCTTTTCTGTAAAAATTATCGCTTTTCATTTAAGACTGCCCTTTATATAATAAACAGAAAAATACATGGGTGGTTGGAAATACCAGATTTATTTTTCGTGTTGAACATAACATTCGAACATAACATCTCACTCATTCGCTGCGCTCACTTGTTCGCTGCACACTCATGTTCAACACTCGAAATAAATCTGGTATTTCGTGCACCCATGCATTATTCTCTATTTAAACTACAACTTGACTGGTTTAAATATTATCAAGTTATCAGTGATTGTAAAAGTTGCAGATAGAAGTGTTTTGTTTTATATTATTATCAAGTTATCAGTGATCGCAAAACCTCCAAATACTTAATTTCAAATGTTAGAATGTTAGGGTTTGTAATCCAAGTGAGAATATATACATTTTAAGACCTAACCAGGAACGACTGCGAAAAATGCAGCAGAAGGTCCTCTGGTAGGAATTAAACCTACGGCCCTGCGATACCGGTGCAGCGCTCTAACCAACTGAGCTAGTAATCGGGTGTGCGGGTTATGATAATGTGGACTTCAACAATTTGAATTCTTGCACTTCACTTGGTGGACTTAATATTAGAATGTTAGGGTTTGTAATCCAAGTGAGAATATATGTATTACTTTTTAAGACCTAACCAGGAACGACTGCGAAAAATGCAGCACAAGGTCCTCTGGTAGGAATTGAACCTACGGCTCTGCCATTTCTGTGCAGCGCTCTAGCCAACTGAGCTACAGAGGCCAGCTGTTGAGCTTTAACCGTAAGTTCATGTATATTTAGGTAATCGGGTGTGCGGGTTATGATAAGGTGGACTTCAACAATTTGGATTCTTGCACTTCACTTGGTGGACTTAATATTAGAATGTTAGGGTTTGTAATCCAAGTGAGAATACATACATTTTAAGACCTAACCAGGAACGACTGCGAAAAATGCAGCACAAGGTCCTCTTGTAGGAATTGAACCTACGGCCCTGCGATTCCGGTGCACTAGCGCTCTAACCAACTGAGCTACAGAGGCCAGCTGTTGAGCTTTAGCCGTAAGTTCACGTATATTTAGGTAATTGGGTGTGCGGGTTGTGATAAGGTGGACTTCAATAATTTGGATTCTTGCACTTCACTTGTTGGAATTAATATTAGAATGTTAGGGTTTGTAATCCAAGTGAGAATACATACATTTTAAGACCTAACCAGGAACGACTGCGAAAAATGCAGCACAAGGTCCTCTCACTGGTAGGAATTGAACCTACGGCCCTGCGATTCCGGTGCAGCACTCTAACCAACTGAGCTACAGAGGCCAGCTGTTGAGCTTTAACCGTAAGTTCATGTATATTTAGGTAATCGGGTGTGCGGGTTGTGATAAGGTGGCCGACTTCAATAATTTGGATTCTTGCACTTCACTTGGTGGAATTAAAATTAGAATGTTAGGGTTTGTAATCCAAGTGAGAATATATACATTTGTATATTCTCACATGGATTACAAACTATTCTCATTTGGATTACAAAATATATACCCAAAATATATACATGTACTATACATTTGTATATTCTCACTAGGATTACAAAATATTCTCACTTGGATTACAAAATATAGACATGTATATATTCTCACTTGGATTACAACCCCTAAGGGACCGATCGTTTATTACGTCTCAGGGGGGGGCGGTGGTTTTTGAGGGGGGGGGTTAATTTTTTAAATATGGCTATTTTGGGGGGGTAGTTTTTTGTTTCCCGAAAGGAAAAGAGGGGGGGTTAAATTTTGAAATTGCAAACGATTCTTACATATTAAAATGACTTTATTTGGTTTATGAGATGAAATTCAAAATATATCTACCATTTTCAATTTGAAAAAAAGAAAAACAAATACAAACTAATCAAGCAAGATTGCGCCATTGTGTGCAATTTTTGCATAGAGAAGACTGGAATCTAGTTCTTAGCATTCAACTCTTTATAGTTGAAAGTTTAGTTCAATGGTTTTTAGGGCCTGTTCATATGATCCCGCTTACCGGGACGTCTCGTTTACCGAGACGAATATTTCCGTGCGTTCATATGGAATATTTCGTCCCGCTTGCCGAGATGAAATTACATTGTAGTTCTATAATTAGTAGCGTATGCAAAACTTCTACATTTCAGTCAAGCAACACAAATACTTAGCGATTTTAGTGTTTTTCTTCGTTTATTTACAAGAAAAAGTATTTCTTCAGATGCTTATTTAATACTTGTTTACAAAACAAACATAAAACCAAGTAAAAAGTGTTAAATTAAACCGGCAAGACTTGTTTGACTTCATCCAGGTATTAAAGCGGGCTGGCGTGTTCATATGGAAGAATTTTCATCCCGCCTACCTATGATCTCGGCAAATTCAAACGAGATCTCGGCAAGTGGGCCAGGTCGCTTTCTCATATGAACACAATGCAAAATTTTATAGGAAAATAGATAGGCGGCGAGATCATCGGTAAGCGAGACGTCCTGGTAAAGCGGGATCATATGAACAGGCCCTTAGTGACTCCGCTGAACGGAATGATTACAGTCAATGGTTTACACCATATGGTTTACACCTGAAAAAATTCATGGCGGAAAATGTTTCAAAAAAGGTATTTTTTATCTACATTTTATAATAATATATAAATATTATTGCATTTTTACTTTTACATGTTTATATCATTCATTAATATGATATTTTTGTATAACGTTTTCCTGTTTTGTATTGAATGCCAAAATATGCAATCTTGCTTTTATATATGACTCGATATTATATTGAATTAGCAATTTCGCGAGGCCTTATAATTTGAATATTTGATGCACTGAGGTTTGATGCCTAGAAATGCCTAGTGCAATTGGGGGGGGGGTATATTTTTAAATTTTAATCTATATAGTTGAACAGGGGGGTCATTTTTTCATTTCCAAAAAATATGGGGGGGTGCATATTTTATTGATGTTTTTAAAAAAACCACCGCCCCCCCTGAGACGTAATAAACGATCGGTCCCTAACATTCTAATATTAATTCCACAAGTGAAGTGCAAGAATCCAAATTATTAATTTCAAATGCCCCGCCGGGCCTAAGGTTTGAATGGAAATGCCCAACCCCCGGGAAATGGCTGGGCGAGGGGGATGGGCACACTTGGATTTGGCTGATGCATTAAAAGTCCTGTGCTTATTTCAGACTGCTTGTCAAATATTTACTTGCTAGAAGTAGAAATTTACTCTGACCACTGGATGAAGAAGACATTAAATAAGTACTCGTCAATAAACAGAAATGTATTTTATTTCATAGTATTACAATTTTATTTTTATACTATAAAAATAAAATATAAACATGCAGCATAGAATATGCAAATTCGAGGCCAAATTATTGTTGAATCGGTTTATTTATAGGATTTTATAACAAATAGCAACTATAAAAGTTTGTACCTTGTCTTCACATGCATCGCTTTATTCTGTTAGCCAATGCTTTTAAATTTACATATTTTAGAATCAGTTCTTTTCCTGGTATAACTGCATTTCTAAATGAAATCATCGTGAGTAGTGAGTGCTGAGCAGGCCGTTTTACTATAAACAAATTTTAGGAATTGATAACAACTTTGAAAAATATATCGTTGCACATTCGGTCACAGTCGGAAAAATGTTCATAGTATGTTGTACCGTCGCTTGCACCTAACGATGAACAGTCGCTCCTAAAAACATTCGCGTGATTAGAATCTCCAATGTTTGTCAAGAACAACAACACTTAATTGTTGTTTCCCATGTGTACAATAATAAGTAAAAAAAACTTTGTGTGGTCTGAACGAGTTGGGCCAGAGACCTACTGGAAACCTTTACAGGCTTTTTAATGAGAATAGAGAATGTTTTATCTGCAACTGTTCACCTTTAGTTGCAACCGACGGTATTTGGCAGCATAAAATTGCCTGTGGCTGTGATAACTGATATAAATAAAATACAGTTCTGGTTAAACTGACTTGAGCGTGTCATGACAAACTCTTTATTGGAAAATTGTGAAGAAATAGTCGAATATATAGGGTCAAATATCATACTTCAAATTGTATAGCTTCAGTATCATTGGTACATAACGTTGTGAAGACAAGCCTTTGCTTACCTTTCGCTTCAGCAGTCTTTTTTTCCATGCTTCTCTAAGCTTTCCCAGACGAGCTTCTCTTTCCTCAGCAGTCTCCTCGAGCAAACGTTGTCGTCTTCGCTCCCTCCTTTTCGCTAGACGTTCGGCTTTCTTGTCATTCCTTGCCTCTTTTCATTTGGCTCCATATCTTTTCAATTGGTATTTGATACCGTAATTGTTTTATTAAACTTTTTATAGAACAAATTGCTTTGAAAGCTGTCAAAGTTTTTTGCAAACGTACAAAATACTGTAGTGTAAAAAGCAAATTATTTTCATGAAGTATCTGTCAGTTGAAGTCGTCATTTGTCACACAACAACAAATTTTAAATTTGACCAATCAGTGTTCGCTATCCATGACAGTCCGCCATATTTTTGAGATCAGTGAGGATGATCACCCACTCAAGGTTCGTTGGTCACGCCCGCGATATTTGATGAACTTTAGACTTGGCTAATGCTTTCGTTTCCCCGGGTGTAAATAGCGGGGGGGAATTAGTACCCTCGCACGGCGCTTCGCGCCGCCGGCTCGGGGAAAAAACTTGTTCCAAACTCACCATATAAAAAAATATGGTGGATGTTGATGTTACCACTGATGCATTTAAGAAAACAGTATTTTAGAAAATATAAAAGAAATTGCATTTTCATTGCATTTAAAAAGAATCTATGAAGAAAATTGGGATGTTAGGAAATTAAATTGAAAAGCATTACCCAGCTAGCACAAAAACGTCCTCACAACGTTTTTAGAACGTGCAGCTTACGTTGGTAAAACGTTGTCTCTTTACGTGCGCTGGACGTGATTTTGTCGACTCCAGAGGATGTTGTCACAACATAGTCAGTAGCATAAGAAGAACGTTCTCACAAATGGGTTTAGAACGTTCCACTAATATGTGAATAAAACGTTGTGAGTTTACGTGCGCTGAACGTGATTTTGTCGACTCCAGAGGACGTTGTCACAACGTAGTAAGACAAGGTAAGAAAAAAGTTTTCACAATGTTCATGAAACGTTAATTTATTCAAGCAATGCGCTCATAAAATTGCAACTTTTATATAATGACATATATTTATTGGCTATTTCAGCAAAACGCTCATACATGGTATAAATACATAAATCATAATATAATATTTAAGTAAATATGCCATATGGATAAAAGAGAAAATAGTACAAAATATTTATGATGGTAGAATACAACAATATTTGAACAAAAGTAATAGAGATATTATACAGTGTGTATAAAAAAAGTATAGCCTTTCAAATTCAAATTAACGAAGTTATATAAGTGTTTTGATTGTTCTCAACTGCTTTGAGTTAATGATACGCGACGAAAACAGGTCTTATTTACAAAAGAGGTCAATGAGAAAACTTCATTTTAATTAATGCTGTTTGTACTGTACAGGGTATTTCATTGATTTGTTTGTACATGTAGGCTCCCAAACTTGTTCGAAGCAATTATTATAAGTAATAGCATGGCATTCAGCGTGATTAGTGATTAAATGTACCCGAAAGCCGAGAGAGGTTTAGTAAAAGTCATGTGACTTTTACGAAACCTCTTGAGGCTTGAGGGACATTTCATCACTAATCGACCATAATGCCATTGCTATTACTTTGTAATATCATAGTTGCCGAGGGAATCGCGCGTGGTGTGTTGCCTGTTTTGAATGCTGTTTGATTGTCTTATGATTGTGGTACAAACACTTTTCATATATATGCACGCGCAGAAACACATCTCCGTGTTCATTCGTTTTAGGCATGCGCATAAACGGAATTTTCTCCCACAATTGTAATGTTCAAGATTAGGGAATAAAAGCTGGAAAAGTGATTGTTCGAATGTGTACGGGACGGTGTCGTCAGATTGTGCCGATGATTTTCGATGAGGTACAGCTCTCCAATCAGAGGTAATGAGGACAATCAGAGGTAATGAGCAATTTTCCGGGGAAATTTAGTTGAAAACAAAGGATTTCTTTGTCTTCTCATTTTCCCTTGCATGCTTGATGAGGGAAATTTAGAAGACAAAAGCGTATCCATGGGTAATGAGGTAAGTTAGTGATTAATCGTACCTCGCGAGACAAAGGATTTCGAGGCAACTATGGTATTATATAAATTATCAGATGAATTCAATAGAATACGGTGTTATGCTTGATTTAAATTTGAAAGGCTATACTTTTTCTTGATACACACTATCACTGTAGAGGCTAAAGTGAATTTTGTCGCGCAAACTGACTATACTGTACAGGGTGTATAAAAAAACGCAACCTCGGAATTTCCCAACAAATCGACATTGTTTTAAGGACAAAAGATTTTAGGTGCCTGGGAATTTAAAATAGCACAACTGTCAAAATTACTGCCCACGCGAGTGCATAAAGCAAAATTTATGCATTTATTTAACAGTACAACAACAGTAATATGATCTATTAGAAATTCGATTTCAATTCCCAGGGGCCTAAACTCTTTTATGCTTAAGAAATGCAAAGTGATTTCTTAGGAAATTCCGAGGTTGCGCGTTACCGGAAGAATTTGGAAAATTATCCAATATGAATAATTTATAAATTATTAAATACGAATTTGGATAATTATCCAATTATAAAAATATCCGGTATGGATACGATTTGCAACGAAGTCGATAGCGAATATACAGTAACTATAAGAAACGAAGTTAAATCGGAGAAATTACCTTGTATTTGGATCCGCCAGGTTTGTGAGGTGCATGCTTTAAGTATTCACCAATGTGATTTTCTATCTCAATCTCGGTACTCCTGTGGGTCTTAGACGTGCTTCTAAAAAGGATTCACACATTTTTATTAGGAGCGTGGACAGTAAAGCATAGACATATCATATGGTTCAATATGCAAAGTTCAAGTAAGCATTCACTTAGTCAAATAATTTATTGCTTGGCGTGGCTAACAGTTGTCATTGCTTTCCAAACACGAGTGTTGGACACAATTCAATGGAATGAATTCATAAATGATTGTGTAGCAACAGTCATTTTTAACCAACCATTAATCAGACCAATAGAATGATTTGATCAACTAACATTCGCTATAACTTTGCGCATCTCAACAAAGATAAAGTAGTGACGAAGGACTCCCATTATGGTCATGGTGCTAATTGCCACTGCAATCCCACCGATAGACTACGTTTGCTTCCGCATTGTTCACCGTGGACAATGATCTGATCATCTGAAACAGTACGAAAACGGTTCAGCGTACCTACATGCACATGCAGTACTCTAGCTGTAGTATGACAGGTGGGATGATATGCACCGTCTCCTACACAATGAAAATCCGTCTTGGTAAAACGTTAAAAAAGGGAAAAAGGTTACATACTTTTCACAACTCGGCATACTACTGTAGCCTTGAAGGATATCTTTCCTCAGACTCCTTTTAGACTGTACTCCGACCATAGCACGTTTGTTCCTATTTTTGCCAAAATGCGTCTAGCACTGTCTCCTACATCGCTACCACACGATGCGATGCAGAAGTTAATCTAGGCAAAACATAATAGCACTTGTATTAGTAAACAAAGAATTTCTCTAAGACTGTAAACGAAAGGCAAAAGTAAAATCTAAGAAAGCTTATTTACCGTTTTCTTTTTAAATTCGTCATCTGGCAGCTGCTCGCACAGGGCATTAAATGCCACTACTTCATTGATTGGCTCTGGTAGTATATCTTCTAACATAATATCAGAGCCACCAACACCCCTAGTGGCCATTGATAATTGTCTGAGCATGCGCAGGCTTTCATTTTGATTATCAATGATTGTTTCCAGCTTCATTAGAACGGTTGTCTGGAGGTCTTAAAGATATGTGAAGGGAATATTAGTATATATACTAAAACTGTCTGTACCAGTGTAGGTAGTACCAATGTGAAAATGCTGTGCTGAGTGGTTATATTACTACCTTAAAAAAGGTAGGTAGTAACATAACCACTCAGCACAATATTAGCAGATAGCTCATCTTATCCAGATCACCAGAAAACATCTAAAGAGGTCAACTGATGTTCATCGCGCAATAGTGTGGTTTATCGCTGTCAGCATGAATATCCATAACTACATACATATTCGCATTTTGATTGGTCAACATGCAATTGTATTCTATGGATTTTTGTTTTAATGTTTAAATATACTGGTAGAACTTACTATCACGTGGTTGAGTTGACTTTGATGACCGTACAGGCTGGACCAACTCTGCGAAGGAATCAATATGACTTTCTAATTCTGTTACACTGATTTAATATAATGTTAGGTAAAACATGTTACTGTATATAAAACATTTTCCATCTCTTCCAAGTGGAAATTGGGAAAATGAGAGATTGTGTGGAACACAGCCCCCGATGGGCGCAGTATTTTCACACAATTTCAAGTCTTCCCAGAATTGTTGGAAGCGGGAAATTTTCGTGCTTGGAATTCAGTTATATCAGCATGTTGCTTAACCAATCAGCGCGCAGAATTTATTACAATGAATCATCTCTTATATACAGAACAAAATAATCTATTGTTTTAACATGTAATTCATGTTCAAAGTACATAAAACAAGACAAAATCAATTCTCCTAAAGCAGTGTCCTCAGGAAGGAAATATGCATCAGTCAAATCTGAATTAACAGTCCAAAAAATTGAATCCCTGTATCTTAACATGTCATATTACAATTACTGTATCGCACCAGAAGAAAACACAAAATACATTGCGAGATTGAGACCACACTTTTTTTTCCACACTTTTTTTTCACCTACATTAATCATGGTTATCATACAGTACACTCCACCATAAAGGATTTAATTAAGTTATTTAAAGCAAGGCTCAGTACACTTGCCTTCTTGCCGACTAAGAGGTCTTCTTGTACCAAGGTCTTGTCTTGAACCAACACCACATGACAGAACTAAGGGAAAAGAATGCTGTCACTAAAAAACTCAACCTGAATCCAGGAAGAATTATTCACCACACAGTATATTCTCTATCAAGTCGCATAGCAAATACTATTAGCAATCCAGACTGTTCCATAAACATACACATGTAAAACGTACCGTCACGCTGTTGAGTTGGTCGCATTGGCCTCACAGTTTGGGTCATCTCCAGGGTAGAATCTGTCAAGGAAGGAAGCAACTAAAGCTACAATACAGCTTTTTTAAGATTATGTTATACTGTAGCACTGCTCCATGCAACCATGTGTTCATAATTGGTTTATCTGACTGCCTACATCCACTGCCCAAGGGCACACTCCACACTGAGCACTCAGAGTAGCATGAACAAATACTATAACACCTGAGTTCCATATAATACACCACAATCACCAGATATTAGATTTTAAACAAAGTACATGTAACAAATTAAATGATATAAATTTATTACTCAAATTAATAAATTGTTTAACATACTTTGAAGGCCATCAATACGGCTTTCTTTGTGACTTGAATATTCGCCAGTTGTAGAACATGTTCCAGCCAATGCACTTTTGTCACGATTAGCTGATAAATTTAAGAAGAAAAAAACAAGGATATGTTACAATACACTAATGTGTGAACAGAAAACATAAATTTTGGGTATTAGATCTCTACGCATTCACAATGTCTAAACATTTGACACTTACTTTCAGCAATATTTGATGTCATCATTGCACATGCAGGTGCAAATGTTGCAGCAACTGTAATGACAAAATAAAACCAAGCAAATTAATAATAATAATAATTTAATAATTTATAAAGTGCTTTTTACATCAAAACTTGGCCAAAACTTGTATACTTTGTAAGCTACATTATGCAAATTTGTGAACAATTAACTCCTAAGCCCTAAGGCATTTTTAATCATCCTTACTGCTGCTTAAAAAACGACTTCATCATCCAAGGTAAGCTCTGGAAATATGCTTGGAACCGGAGGACTTTCTTGCAATTCCTGGGCTCGGGTACCAAAGACGGTAGGTGCCAAAGGGAGACAGGGTGGTGAAGTTGTGGCAGATGTTTTTCTACGCTTGCCTTCCACCTCGTTACTTTCATCACTTTCATCACCTAAAGCATGTATACACTGTAGTTCTTTCATATAATGCATTATACAGGTAATATAGCATTTTTAAACTCTGAATGCCGGTTGGTCATGAACCATTTTGATAACTTATTGTCAATTAATACAGAAATTTCCTGTCGCTCTAGAATTTAGTTTTATTCATCATTTTCTCCTGTTCTATTATTTGTTTCCTAGTCGTATATTATAAAGTTAAAATGTATTTCTGTGTTGATATTGAATGGAAAACCTTCCATGCTTATGTGTAGCTCATTACAACTAAAAGTTATTTGAATATGTGGTACTTTATATTTCTTTGTATTTCTTCGGTTCTTCCTTTTATGATACACATACATTTATACTGTAATTAAACACTCATGGAAGTTGGGGAAACTGGAAAGTACTGTACAGTGTACTGTAGAATGTGAAATGAAATTTTACTTGCTTCAATCACTAAAAATGGTTCACACAATAACAATACATGCAACATTAATTCGGGATGCTAAATAATGTACATAATGCAGTCATTGCAATCATATTTCTAGGTCCTGCCGATTGGTGAGGAGGACGTATGATATACTATTATTGAGTATGGTGTAATATTATCAAGTAATAATTACAATGACGTATGAAACTTACCCTGGTCACTTTCACCGGTACTACTTTGGCTACGGACGACGTAGTCATTGTATTTTTTTGTCCTTCGCTTACGTGGGTGATTCTTGCCATCTGATTTCCCAGATTCAACATTAGATGTTTCCTCAGCGGTTTTTAGATATTCTTTTGCCGTGCTATATGTGTCTATCAACCAATTTAAAAATTATATTCAGAGAATATTAATACATTACACAAACAATATATAGGTTCAAAATGCTAGTCAGCACTAGTGATTACAAAGAATATATAAAAACTACTTTAAGAGAGCATGTCCACAAAAATCAAACACGAGGCGGCCACGACTGAAAAATCGATTTTGCTCAAATTTTGCCCAGATATACCTTATTATATCGGAAAATACACCACACATTTTTTTAGGTCAAATGCTTTTTTAACTTTGAGAAAATGCCTTTTTAACACGACCACCCTAAATCGCCATTTTGTCTGGGAAAATATGCGCCGATTTTAAGGACAAATTTCAAGAGGACAACCGTTTCTAATCGATCTAAAACCCTAAAAATCTTGTTCTCTGTTATTCAAAAGACCGGGTAGGTGACTTACAGGAAATCTGAGTTACTTTTAGGAATAGAAAAAATCGTAGTTTTGGAGCACACTATCTTACTTCATTTACGATACCCCCTTAACAAAACTGATTTTCACCATGGGATAAAGCTCCAAATCGATCATGCTTCTACTAGTTGGCTCTTTAATAAACAAGCTTTCAATCAACGTAAATACTTCTTTGGGCAAATAAATACGCGATAAACGACAGCGCGTTGAAATCGTCCGTTTTTGACGTCTTGCAAGTCAAACCCTGTTAATTTATATACCGTCGAAGTAAACAATTTAAGCAAGCATTCTAAGTATTTTACCTTTTGAGAAGAAACATATTCTTGAATGGAGACTTCTTGCCTTGCTAAGTTTAAAAGTGGTCCAGAAATCCCGGTATATTTGTAAAAAATCATCATACAGGTATTTTGAGTATTCTTGTCATTTGCATGATGATAAAACTTCAGATCACTGTTCAACGTGATCTACGACCCAGCCGTTGTAAACTTTAAATATCTATAGCGCTAACATACAAATCGATGAGCTGTTTAGTTTGCTACTAAATTTCCCAAAATAATTAGAACTACAATTGCTGTTCTGTTCCATTTTGACCATAGTGTACCATTTTATGTATCGACTATCGATTAATGTTTACGAATACGTACGTTAATTATTAATTAAGCATCTGTAGCGTGCGTGTACATGTGAAATGAACGTTTATCCATATAAGGAGTTTTTATTTTTAGTTTACTAGCACTTACTTGTAATAAACAATTTAGAATTCGAACTATTTGAATGTGTGGTAAAACTGTACAGGCCACAGCAATTATGTATTGATTGTTCTTGACCAGAGGTTCTTGACGATATTGGACGCGTCATGTTGCTGGTTAAATAATATACCGTAGTAATAATTTAATCACCATATCTAAGTCATTTCGGGACAAAAATATTATTTGAAAAAGACCAGGGCTTTAATAATTATTTGAAGTAGATGGTTATGATAAAACAGGGGCGGCGCCAGGGCTAGCAATTTCCCCCGCATCCCCAGCTCAAAGGGGGGGGATACAAATTTCCAAGGGGATAAAAAATTTGTCGACGGGATGGGGGGTGATTGTGGTTCACAGGGGCCCCAAAGGTATAATTTGCCCTGGGGCCCCATATTTCACTGAGCGGGCCTGGGCAGCTAGGATCTCCGATGGGCTCTTATTTATATAATCGTGTTCACAGACCATATAAACAATCAATTTCTAAAGAAATTAATAACGCAGAACACGAATATATGAATATCAGCCCCCCCCCAATTATCGAGCTTGCTACGGCACTGGCATTAGTGCTCTCTGCGGGAAACTTTGCAAGAAAAAAGGACTGTAAAGCCTTAATAAGTTCCCATTTGGTCTTTACCTGGCGCTACCAGGATAAATGGTAGGTAATAGTACAAATCTTTCGTGTCTTTTGTATGTTGTAGTCAGGGGCGTAGGAACCGGGAGGGGGGTGGGGGGAGGCAGCCCCCTCCCCCCAGGTTTTGCCAAGTGCCCTTTTTCCGGGAACAAAGCCCCCGTTTCTTGCGTGAAAAATGTCTTAGGGATTGCCTTTTTTTTGCCTTTTTTTATGTTATTTTCCGGGAAATGTTTTTCATTTCCGGGAAAAATATGATATATCGGGAAAATTTTTTGGTATATCCGGAAACATTTTTCCATATTTAGGAAAAAATGTGATATATCCGGAAAATGTTTTCGGTATGTCCGGAAAATTTTTTGAGACCTCCCCCCGTCGCCCACTTTTCCGGGAAAAATTTTTAGATGCCCTTTTTTATTCGGAAAGTGCTCCTCAAAGCCTGCCCCCCCCCAACTTTTAGAAGCTTCCTATGCCCCTGGTTGTAGTAAATCAGTCTTTGCTAGCGATAGCTTACGACCACGTTTTTTTGCGCATACCTGTGTTATGCAGTTAAGCTCAGCTGCTCAAGAATTTGAGGTATTACTCCTTGCAGCTGCAATTCCCGATTAACTCCACATTAAGTAAATTAACGAAAGGCTGCTTCCGTGTTTCCTTGAATGCAGAAGTGTCCAACTCAAAAAACACGCACATTTCCTTCAGCATTTGTATGGAGAATTTTGAGAGCTTCGAGCATATAGCAAGTTCACAGAGATTGTACGATTCGAACATTATAGGATGCATGAGTCCTGCCTCCTTGATCACATTGTTTGTCATCTCTTGCAGTTCTTCCACTTCGAGACTTGCCGGTCCATCCCCCTCTAACTCTTTGTCTGACTCGTTCACCATTGTTCCTCTTCTCTTTTTTGCGAGGCGAGAAAAGAAACTTTTGATCTGTTTTGGAGTTAGGTACTCACTTACGCTGACTTCAGTGCCCACCCTTTTGGTAAAGCGGCGTCTTTCACCGAGGTGTCTGGAGAACTTTGCTCTTCAAGTAGCTGGCCATGGCTTGTCAGTGATGCATCTCCTTGGTCAAGTTTTGCGGCGTATGACAGCATCGCTTTGTCAAGAAATGTTTCGCGTTCTAGGACAAACTTATGTTTACCGACGTCAAGATGACGCTGCAGTGACGAAAATCGTTGAAATGATCTGATACAGCCGTCATCAGGACAAGGAAAGAGCTTTGTTGTGTCTTCTTCGCCTTCTGAACTCGAACTTGAGCTATCAGCATCCATGGGCGTAGGTTCACTCTTTGTAGCCCGTTTCTTTCTAGCAGACACTTCCGTAAATGTGGAATTCGGGAAAGCAGATTCCTTAATGATGTTTAGCTTTGGCAAAGGTATGTCTTCTGGTAGGCCAAACTCACTCCATTTTAAGATCTTGCCCTCGCCAATGCCATATTCTCTCCACACTTTCATGCCATCTTTCTTGTATGAAATGTTGTTGATGAAGCTGACGCCATCCCATTTTAAAGGATCTGACTTCGGTATTGAAGGGGTTTCGCACAGCATCACTCTCACTCCGTGAACACCATTTGATGACTCGATAGCGCTTTTCATCTGATCAGCATTTTCAACATCTTTTCCAGAGTTGACGTATGCTTTGATGTGGTTCTTGATGGTAGCAGCCTTTCGATCGCACGAGCCTTTACCTCCTTGGGGATCTGAAAAATCAACTCTAAGTTGAATTTTGTGCTTCTTGGCTATTTCCTTCATGGCCAAAAGGTTGAATGCACTGTGATAACAGCCAGCATTGTCCTGTCTTAAAAATACATTCTTAAGATCAGGACGTTCGGTTTTCAGCTGACTGACAACATCGTCAACAATGGCCATTACCGAGTAGCTGTCCTGGGTACAGTTTTGAAAAACATGAACAAATGTCAGTATCTCCAAGCGGCATTCGCCCTTTGTGATTGCTACTGCAATGTGCCAAGAGATTCCTTTCTTTCCATACCAATCAGATTGGCTTTCCCGATACTTCCGTGGCAAAAACTTCATGGCCCAGTCTAACACTACAAGAACTGAGGTTGGAGACAAATCTTGCAGAATGTTTAATCGAGCTTCATCTTGATTGATGGCACGCAAAAGGTGAGCTTTCCAGGCGTGGATATTTTTCTTGGATTGAGCGAAAACATATACCATCTCTTTTTTCTCTTCGTTATCAATAAGCAGATCTTTCAGAACAGAATCTATTTCATCAAACACAGTTGGAATCAAGTCACACCTGTCACATCTGAGGTCGTGCCGATGGTCACATTTGCTGTTGTAACCTGAATCACTTTCGCAACTGAGAGCGTATGATCTACAGTGGTCAGGGACTCGGGAGTTTTTTGAGACATGAACCTGCAAATATCGAATAAATTTATCTTTTCTCATTTCTGTTTGAACAAACTGTTTACGTCTGAAATTATACTGTGGGAAATAATGATTATAAAACTGCAGTGGTAGAAGTTGTGATAATATGTCTTCCAATATTTTGTTATTTCTTATTCATTTTGACAGAAATCATTCTACGGGAAGGGAATGTGCTTCACATAAAAATAAAAATAAATTAAACAAATATCAAACACAACTAAATATTTTCTAGAGTATCGCCCATCCCCATTCGAAATTCTATAGACCACCCAGGCTTCACATACCTTGTAGTCACTTTTCAGATAGCGTTTTGCCATTTTCAGTTTACTGACCATGTTCTTCGCCCAAGTGTGGCCTTTATTGTACTCATCTCCAAGCTTTTGCACTAGCTCTTCTATGTCATCAAATGCTTGAGCACCATCCGCAGAAAAATAGTCCAGTCCTTGCAACGACTTTCTCACGGAAGCACTGCACACTGTCAAAACTCTGCATAGGCTGCTTCGACTCATTGGCGCAAAGCTAGTTTCTTTGCAATAGGTTATGTATTGTTGAACTACCTGTTCGGGAATCAATGTTCTCACAACATTTGGCACTGTGACCGTTGCACTGTTGGAGAGCTTCAGTATTTTTTCTCCAAATGGCAAATCTAGAACAACTTGACCACTCGTGATAAAGGATAAAAAGTGATCAAGTTTTTCAAGTGGGATATACATGCGAGCACTCTTGGTAACAGCAACTGGAGAACCTCTTCCATGAAGTAGTATATGGTGACGGGCCACATTGAACCTGTATCTACTTAGGCCGGGAATCCAGTCTTTCAATGATGAATAAGATACCTTATCAGCCATTATTGACAAGATCTGTCTTCTTGTGCTCCAGTGGTTTGAGTTATTGTAACATTCTACAAGTGCCTCTATGAGTGATTTATCAACGTTTTCTTCTTCTTGATCAGTTGATTGCAAAATACTAAACAACTTGTCTGAGCTTTCAGGCGCAATTTCGTCTAAGGCTGCAAAGACGACCTGCTTTGCTTTGCGAGAATAACGTCGCTTAGTTCTTTGTGAAGCTTCGTCCCATGGTGCAGTAAGCTGGTTTCTAATAGGGCTTATATCCCTTGCTACCAGAAAAGAATTTAATATTTCCCTTGGTGTTGATTCTGAGTAGTATGTGCTCTCTGTTTCTGTTAACAAGGAGCGTTCAGATGGTGTATAGGCTGTGTATGGAGTCTCAGGTATATCAGTGGGAGTTTGTGGCACGAGCGGATATGTAGAGCTCTCTGCACTAGCTTGTGAAGGTAGTTCAGCATTATCCTGTTAAATAAATGTATGACACGTATAAGTGTGTTTTTCAAACCTAAGATCGGGGGGGGGGGGTCAAAAGAGTGTGGATGGGTGTGGTTATAATAATAATAATAATTATTATTATTACTATTATTATTACTATTATTATTATTATTATTATTATTATATATATTGTACCATCGTCAACTCTTCCATCTGTTCGTCAATAGGTTTAAAAGGTGACTTTGAGGAATCTTTATCGTTCATTGCTTTAATCAAACATCGGCATTTCTTGCAAATTCCTGAAATAATAATAATAACAATACAGTATATATATACATATACATATACATATACATATATTAATAATATATCATTAATATAATTAGAGTATTAAAATATAATAAGACGGCATAGCTACGTTACAGTTGTACCATAAAAGCCTACCTGATCCAGGAGGGACGAACACGCCAGTATTGCGTAATATGATAGATGATTCTTGTTTGCCCAAACCTCTATCACCCCTTGGCCAAGCTCGGTTAGACTTTCCATGCTCCGAAATAACTACAGGAACTCGGCATCTTGTACTTCCACCTCTAGTCCAGCTGATTCCGAGCGTCGCGCGATGATGAGGGCAGATGGCCATGGATTTGATACTCTCCTCTGACTTGTTATAAACAGCCGCTCGAGACAATATGAGATCTACTTCATTTTTAGGCCCTGAAAAACTTATTGAAGACAAGTGCCTTGAAATATCCTTTGTACAGGACAGCAATGGAACAATTTGGGTCGGGCGCTTTCGATCTTTGACATTAAAACCACAAGAGCTACCGACAACATGCTTAAAAGAGCAACAAGCTTCCATTTTCTTTAAAACGTGACGTGTAATTGAAGATACGTATGCAGGACAGTGGGAGGGGTGACAATAATTTCTGGTGTTGCACTAAACTAACATATCTCAATGCTATATTTTGGGTACTTGTGGAATAGGCCTATAAATCTATAATAAGATCGATAGAAAAGATCAATAATCTAAATAAAGTGATTTTAACTGTGCATCAAAGTGAACACACATTATTGTAAAATAATTATTCTAAACTATTTGCTATAATTTGAGTTTGAGGTGGTAAAATATGTAATAAAATAACAAATCCTTGTATGGATAAATGTTCATTTCACACGCTAACAGCTGCTTAATAATTAACTTACGTATTCGTAAACATTGCTCGATAGTCGATACATAAAATGGTACACTATGGATCAAACTGGAACAAAACAACAATTGAAGTTCTAATTTTGGGAATTTTAGTAGCAAATATAATCCCTAAACAGCTCATCGATTTGTATGTTAGCGCTAAAGAGTTAGAACGGCTGGGTCGTAGATCACGTTGAACACTGATCTGAAGTTTTATCATGCAAATGACAAGAATATCTCAAAATACCTGTATGATGATGTTTTTAAAAATATACCGGGATATCGATTTCTGGACCACTTTTAAACTAAGCAAGGAAAGAAGTCTCCATTCAAGAATATGTTTCTTCTCAAATGGTAAAATACTTAGAATGCTTGATTAAATTGTTTACTTCGACGATATGTAAATTTATAGCGTTTGACTTGCAAGACGTAAAAAACCGAAGAATACAACGCGTTGTCATTTATCGCGTATTTATTTGCCCAAAGAAGTATTTACGTCGATTGAAAGCTTGTTTATTAAAGAGCCAACTAGTAGAAGCATGATCGATTTGGAGCTTTATCCCATGGTGAAAATCAGTTTTGTTAAGGGGGTATCGTAAATGAAGTAAGATAGTGTGCTCCAAAACTACGATTTTTTCTATTCCTAAAAGTAACTCAGATTTCCTGTAAGTCACCTACCCGGTCTTTTGAATAACAGAGAACAAGATTTTTAGGGTTTTAGATCGATTAGAAACGGTTGTCCTCTTGAAATTTGTCCTTAAAATCGGCGCATATTTTCCCAGACAAAATGGCGATTTAGGGTGGTCGCGTTAAAACGGCATTTTCTCAAAGTTAAAAAAGCATTTGACCTAAAAAAATGTATTGTGCATTTTCCGATATAATAAGGTATATCTGGGCAAAATTTGAGTAAAATCGATTTTTCAGTCGTGGCCGCGAAATATCTTATATATTCGATTTTTACTGACATGTACTCTTAAATTAGCAGAATGAGATCTTCACTTGAACACAAGCTTCAGACTGCTTGAGTTTGCAGTCTTCAACAGGTGAAGTGTACTAAATATAAAACTATTCTACGAATAATATAACAAGAATAGATAGTTCTGCCTGTGTAAACTGCTATAAAATTAGTGTTCTAACTGTTCTTATAAATATAAAACTACTGTAACTGTTATTTTTTAGCATTAGAATCTTTATTGTGGCCAGACAAAGCATGCTTAAACTCAGGACTAAAGTGATGCAAAATCATAGCCCAGGCAACTTATCCACACAGAGGCAGAGCACACTGGAGGCCTGGCATACAGCACCACATTGAATTCTGACAACAATGCACAACACTTACCAGAACATAGATTCTTACTAAAAAAGAACAGTTAGTTTTATATTTATAAGAACACCAGTCTTGTTTTATGTCAGACATAAGTGGAACTACAGTATCTATAGTTCTAACTTAGTAGCTATATCCGTAGAATAGTTTAATTTATACTTGTATTTATGTGCGAGACAAATCCAAACGCAATCATTCCCCCCCCCTCCCCACACAAGCGGTACAAGCAGGGATTTGACGGAAATTTATTCCGCCCGGGCATTTGACCACTCTTAGCGGTTTTCGCTAAAAATATGTGTACACTCTAGTGCTTGGGGAGTTTTCTACTTTTCGTCTTTTCGAATCAGTCCTCTGGAATCAATCATAGACATATGATATCATTATGCCATTATTTAAAGTTTGGAACGAAGGGAAAACGGTCCGAAAAGCTGTATTGGCAAATTCGTTTGCAGAATTAATTTTAAAAGGTGAGTTTTAATACATTTTCGGTATTCTATTGAAACCCACACACCACAATTGCCATTGTCAATAATAGTTTAATTTATAAATTTTAGCCAAAATTCCAGAACCAGGACTACCCCTATATAATCCTAAAGTAATTTTGTCCAGTATGGTGTTCCATACATGAGGAATCTTACAACATCATAGCAGCCTGGATAAAAATATTATTACTGTAGTGCAAACAGGTAAATCACGGGCATGAGCTGCGAAAGCTTGCTGCTGAGACCAGTGGACTCTGAGTTTATTGGCTGAGACCCAGGTCATTGCATGGAATTCAATAAGGCATCGGGCAAATGTGCATTCCTCGATTTACCTGTAGCTGCTAGTGAAAATATACAGTATTTGCATGATATGTAAATGTTTGATGGATTTAGGAACACTGTCAATTTAAAAGTCAGTTCAGCTGCCATACACTTTATTTTAACTGCTATTTAGATAGAACACTACTATATTGTACTACTGTAATGTTGTTAAATTTGGTCCTAAAGTCTGTGGTCGAAGACTGCAGACTGGCAGTTGAAAGCTCATATTCAAATAAATTTGCGATCAAAGAATTACTTCTGAAAAAGCATTATTATGAATCCCGGTCGAGCATCTGGAAGTTTCTAATCTTTACTATTTATAAAAGTTAAAATATATCTAAATATGCATAATGATAAATAGGATACTCCATATGGCACACTGTATTTTAACAGGTAATTAATAATCAAAGCTCTAGATTAGTCACTCAATTTTATGACGTACATGTAGTAATTACATACCAGCATATTTAAATATGCGCATGTTGTGCTGTTTCCAAAGCTTTTTGTCGGCGAGCACCTGATTTTTTACTTTGGCTGTCACATCTTTTCTAGGCCAGTAGCAGACACATTTCTATTGAACAAAATATGTATTAATAATTAGGACACTAATACTAATCGATTCTTCAAGAATACATTTAAACTACAGTACTGTCCAGAAATAACCTAACAAAAACTGCGGTTAACCTCGGTCAAACCTAGGTTGGACCTCGGTCAAACCAAGGTTAGACCTCGGTCAAACCTAGGTTAGACCTCGGTCAAACTTAGGTTAGAACTCAGTTTGACCTCGGTTTAACCTAGGTTAACCGGGGTTTGAGTGAGGTCTGACCGAGGTTTAATCTAAGTTGAGTAAGGTTTGAACGCGTTTAAACAAAAACCGCAGTCGACCATTGCCGAGACAGCACCGCAATTTGTTTGTCCCGTAATCGGAAATTAACTATCGTTTCCCATTTTCGCATCTAAGCGTCTTTCAATTTTAATTTTCCAAAGTTATCAGACGATTACAAATTTCGAGGCAAATTTGCGTTTTAAAATGCCGACTCGAAATTGTCCGCGTATGCTCGAGAGAGAGAGTTATTAATTAACCTGCATATTTAGAAGGGGAAGCCATGAAAGTTTTGAGATTAGCGGCTACAACAACAGCACTTACCATGGAGCTTCAAAACTATAGAGCCGTCATAGTCCACACCATTGAATTCGACTTTAACTGTAGATCCTTCATTTGCTTGTCACTGTAGCAAGAGTATACGATTTGCTATTCACGAGTGAAATACCTCGTGCAACAGTTCTTGTATATTCGAAATATTCCCGACGTTTATAATGAATGTATAGACATATTGTATTGACTGCTTTTGCCCGCTATTTTGCTGTTTTGAAAAGCGATGAGTGTAAGACGCGTGTCGTGCCTGTCGGCGGAAATTCCCAAACAGTCATTAACGCAACCCGTAGCAACGGCTTTGGAAAACAGAGTCGACAAAAATTTGAGAAAAAGAAATACTGCGATATTATTAAGAAAAGTGTTGCCGTTTTTATTTAGCATATATGCAGCAGTATATAATATTGGCCGCACATTACAATACTGTTTGTCAATGTCAATGAAAATTTATTTTGGTAGTAGCAACAGTAAAAGTTAATTTTTATTGATGAAAACTTTTCAATTACACATATAAAGTCATTATTATTTTGTGTTTCAACGTGCAACTCAATTACCTTTAAACTCGTTTTCGTTTTATAAAAACATATTTGGCTGAGACTGAGTGAAACATAAATTGGCTGAAAACGCGATGTCGATGACTCATCAGATACTTAGACTCTGGCACTGAAAATTACCATGTCTGATATTCAAACCCATTGTTACGGTTAGTCATTATTATGAATAAACGTTTATATTTGTGTAATGTTTCTCTATATGACTATAAATCGGGAGAGAACCTTTTGTCCAATGTTTTTCCATAAACTATTAGCGAGAGTATGTCAAACTTTGAAAATGAAAATTCGATGCTTTCGATATGGATACGTAACAACCAAGCTTGAGCATCGTGACCAAACGACGAGAGTGCAATTTGGCGGATATGAAACGATCATAATTCATAAACCTTAACTAATCATATGGTCAATGAGGCGCATTTACGAATTTGTAGCGATAATGTAGTGAGTAGCCTATATAACCTTGTTCGTCAACGAAATCGGTCCACTGCAGATCGCGCGTTTGGATCTTGGAAAAAGGTATGATATACTGTTTATAAGTCCATATAATGAGTTGTGCGGTTACATGGGACATAAACATAGATGGATAAAATTAAGAGTCGTAGATGGGTATTACCGTTATGATACTGAGTATTTTAATAAAATGCATGCTTTTTTTCGACATTTGAACTACTTATGTCATATAATTATAATCATCCTGTGGCAGCACGCGACTGAGTGTAATATATTTGAAATGTGGAATTAACAATCGGCTTTCTAATATCAAAATCAATGCGCCTTTAGATTTACTACCGAATAGTCGTATGGCTCATTATCGTATATCTATAGAAGGTTTTCCGCTATACACAACAACTACAGTAATCTAATTGGTACTTGGTAGCACCAGATTACTATAGTATTTACTACCGCGTGTTAGCGTGTATATGTTTTTCGCTACAAAACTAAAGATTAGTAGAATCGAAAATTTCAGATTAGTAAACTAGAATTCAAGTCACTGTATGCGCTTTACATATATTACCGCGTAACGAATACAGTATCGAATGTATTATTTCAGCCTCTAGTAGCAGTTTACCGATTGGCAAATCACGGAAGTCGGCTGGTATTTATAAATATACTGTATGTTCCTAACAGGTTCTGTCCTTAAGATTAAAACTGATTTTCGTTTATTAAAAGCATATTTGACTGAGGCTTAGTGAAACATATAAATTGGCTGGAAAACGCGAAGTCGATGACTCATCAGATGCTCAAGCTCTGACACTTATACATTAGCATACCTGATATTCAAACCCATTGTTACTGTTAGTCATTATTATCGCGCATTTTTCATTTGAATAAACGTTTATATTTGTGTAATGTTTGTCTATATAACTATAAATCAGGTCCAATGTTTTTCCATAAACGTTTTCCAATCATCCAGTGGCAGCGCGCGACTGAATGTAATATATTTGAACGGTGGAATTAACAATGCTTGCTAAAATGAAAATCCGAATGCGCTTTTAGATCTACTACCCAGTAGTCTGTATGACTCAGTCATAGAATGTCTTCATACAGCTACACGGCAACTACATGAGTGATCTAATTGCATGGTATTTGATAGTAGAACCAGATTACTATAGTCTTGTATAAAAGTATAGAATCAAAGTCACTGACCTTTAATTACTCTTTAATAGATTTACTACCGCGTGTATATATATGCTTTTCGCTACAAAACTAGAGATTAGTAAAATAGGAATTATCAGATTGCTAGAATTAAAATCACTGCGCTTTAGCCGGATTTACTACCGCAGGCCTATATCGAATACAATATCGAATATAATTCCGCCATTTTTTCTACATTTAATAGCAGTTTAATTACGATTGGCAAATCACGGAAATCCTATATCTATATCTACAGTATAATATATACGTAATATATAGAGGTAGTGACTTTCAATTATGTTTATTAATTTATTTCACGGAGCTTAATTATGTTCCGGTTTATTGAAAGGTTTAATTACAGGCTTATTTTAGTTTAAAAACAGCATTTTCGAAGAGTTTACAATCCGAGATCCGCTCACATCTTTTGAAGACCTATAGTTACAGTATATAAACTCATGTACCCGCCACTTCAGCACATGCAGTCAAGGTATTGCCAATTTGCAATTACAGCATTAGTAAAACATTTATAATTTGCGGTTTAAATCGGTCAAACTCGACCTAACCGCGACCGAACCTCAACCTAACCTCAACCTAACCTCAACCTAACCTCAACCTAACCTCAACCTAACCTCGACCTAACCTCGACCTAACTGCGACCTAACCGCGACCTAACCGCGACCTAACCGCGACCTAACCTCAACCTAACCGCGACCTAACCGCAACCTAACCGCAACCGCACTGTTAAGTTATTTCTGGACAGTACACGATCTACAAAACAGTTACTCCCCTTTTCATTTTAAGATTTTGCTAATATAAAATGGGCGAAGAATTTATAGGTTGTGTGCGTTCCCAGACTCCTGAAAGAAGTGGGGATTGCGCAACTTCGAACCGGCCAACATATACAAAAAATGTATATCGCATTATAGAATATATTAATAAAAATATACAGAAAACTACAGCGAATACAAAAAGAAATATACGATACAAGTGTTGAATAAGGCATAAATAGAAGTACAGTGACTGTCAGTGCATGCTAACCAGCCTGTTTCCACACAGTTTAATAGTTAAGTGGCAATCACAGTGTTTCAGAATTCAGATATGGAAATTGGAACCCATGAAATGCACTTCATATCCGAACTTGGCTTGGTTAATGAACGTTTTTCCTTGTTATGCAATTGGCCCAGGGTAGTTTGTTATTTTTAATCACGTTCGTGAAACGTACAGGTGTATGTACCACAGGATACCGCACAAATTTACATGTACATGTTCCATATCTTTTGTCAAATGCATATAACTTAGCCTGTTAAATATTTTTTAGTATAGTTTTTCATTATTTTTTTCTTCCTGTGGGGTCTTCGATTTAGATTTGGCAGATTCTATTATTTTTTAAATCGGATATTCTGTGGATAAAATCCTAATGTACCACAGAATACCAGTGCGGCAATAAGTAAGGAATGGTTTATCAAATTGTATGACGATTTGGTGTGTTATGTTGTGTGATAACACTGTACAGATATTGCTAACTTAATAATTGAGTGGAAGGTAAATACTAAAATTGCTACAGAATACTGGTGGTATGTACCACAGTATATTAGGTTTACCAATAATTTTGAAAAATTGAGTTTGTTATAGCAAATTTGATCACTCAGTGAGATTCCTGAATAGTAAAAATGTTGTATCGCTTAGAAAAACTGTTGATGAATGCAAATCATATTGGTTTGCGAACTTATTTTCAAACTTTCTGATTTTACGGGCATTAAACAGAAAAAAGTGCCAAAAATAAGGAATTTTATTTGTTGTTTATCCCGATTATTTTTAAGAATTTTATGGAAATATCCATTTTTCGTTTTTATATGACCATTGAGACTAAAACTAATATATATTCACAAAAATAAAGTATATAGCATGTTTCCTTCAAATTTTATAAGCGAACTAAAAAAACTGGTATTCTGTGGTACTGTGATATTCTGTGGTACATACACCTGTAGGTTTATAAATTAAATCTTGTTTGTACCTAACTTTTCCTTTTAGGTGGAAAGAAATATTTGTCGTCTCTACCGTCTTATCGGACCCGGTTCAACAGTAAGTATACTTGTCATAGCTTTGAAGTTAGGAATCAATATTATATATTTACAAGACATTTTCCCTCAACTAACTAAATGTACGTTTCGTAAAGCATTATTTATTGAGAGTTATGCGTTTAAGTTTTATCACCTGTTAGATCCCTCTCTTTTCTTGTCCTTTCTTCCACTTCTGTTTTTCTGCATGCATAAGATATTTGGGCAATATTGCTTCTGATCTTCCCGCATTTAAGTTTGAAGGACTTGTTCTTGTCAAAGATCTTAAATTTTGTTCCTTCTTCGTTCATCATGACTCTTTGCAATTGAAGGTGGGAATTGTTGCTTTCACGAACGTTTGAATTTAAGAATTTAAGAAGGTGGCACGATATATTTATCCACACAAAATTCCTTATTAAAGAATAGCCAAAAGAAAACCTTATTCTATATGAACCTGGGTTACCATTCGTGTCCGCTGGAAAAATAACGACTTACTTATATGACTTGACGCATCACGACTTGTTCATCTCGTCTCGCGCCATTGCATGTCAATTGATGACATCATCAGAAATACCAATTTAAAAAAGAAAAAGAGCGCTATACCTCATTATTGTGTCTCTGATGGCATACGTTGAAATTTTGCACGCTGTATGGTTCCGCAATGATTTTGGATGCACCAAATAATAAATCTATAATGTCAAAAACTTTTTGTCGGAGAAAACGGCACTTTTCATTTCAGAATCTTCTTTTTGCATTGACTGATTTTGGTTCACTCATCTCGAACGAGCAATCGGCCATATTTTTGTTTCGAAAAATAATATTTAAATTAATCACCATTTTTCAAGTTCAGTGCATACGCAGATATTTCCTCCGTTGTTTTGATTATGCGCCTGCTCTGCATGGAAAAATATAATGCGCGGGCGCCAAGAGGTGGAATGTGGGAAAAAATGTATAATTAAATCTAGGACTTCGTTTGTAAAATTGGTAATTAAATTACTTTTTTCTATGTAGGCACTCCAAATCATTATGGGAAACATTTCATTACTGGGTTTACAGCTCAGAATAGTAATTATCGAGATGACTACATTGGATTGTCAATTCTTGCCCCCTACGACACAAACGTTACGATCTTTGGTACTCTGTCAAGCAAGCCTTGGAACTACACTGTTCATATTAAAGAAGGAGAAAGTTTTGAGTATAAACTGCCGATTTCACTGCGAATGAAGAAATCAAAATACCGACAGAATGGTATTGAAATTTCATCAACTAGAGACATTTCAGTATTGTGTTTAAATAACCAAGGTTATCGACAAACAGGGGATGGATACTTGGCTTTACCAACTAACATGCTAGGTTTAGTTTATGTTGCTGCATCATATCAACCGTATAGTTCGAGCTATAGAGCGAATATCGCCGTAATATCAGCACATAACAACAACACGGTTATTGTTCTTCCCAACAAGAACGCGGTTATATACTATCGCGGTCTCTGGTATGATGACAGTACATCGCTATTATACATAACCCTAGTCCTTGATAAACTTGAAGTACTGTACATTTCGGGTTCATCAGATTTATCTGGAACAATTGTTATCGCAAGTAAACCAGTGACGGTTATTTCAGGCGTAGACTATGCACGTATTCTGGGATCGTATGATTTCTTAGAAGCGTTCCTTTTACCTGTTTCGTCGTGGGGATATGAATACATATTGACAACGGTAGGAGCGATGGATAAAAATCAGGGGGATATTTTTCGCATCTTTGCATATGAAAATAATACTGTTGTTGAAAGTGGGTACTGGACCAAAATGTTGTCATCCGGAGCATACACCGAGTTGATATTGCAAAAAAATCTTGCATCTTTTGTTAAATGTAACAACCCATGTCAAGTGGTGCATTACGTCCGACGACACTATATTGGCGGGAAATATGCTAACCCTTCAATGATAGTTCTGCCATCAACAAGTCAATTTCTTTCTTACTACCACGTGGTACTTCCTCGTGGTTCAGAATATCATGATTCCATTACTATAGTGATACAAAATGAAGACATAGAAGGTCTATATATGAATGGATTAAAACTTAATGGCTTACGATGGGAAAGGATCAATGGAACAAATTATGTATGGACGGTCGTAAGTTTATCCGATCCAAATACTGTCACAGTCTATCATACTTCTTCGACTGTAAAGTTTGGTCTCCTTGTATTTGGCTGGAATAATGGTGTTTCCTATGCTTACTCTGGTGGATTTGGTTTACATAACTATTCAAATGGTAAGGTACTTTACTTGTGGTAAATAAATTTTGAAACTTGGTATAATTATTTTCTCTTCACACTGTAAAGATATTAGCAACTCCAGTACTTGCATATTCTGGTTGATTTTTGCACTTTTAAAAAAGCTTATAGAGTAGATTATTCTCCCGTTCCTTAGCCAGTTGCCTAACCACGAATAGTTGTGAAAATACCACTATTGGCGTTCTGGCGGAAGTCGTACCTGCATATCTGCGATTCCGTTGCAAGGCTCTAAAGCCCGTTTTCCACTCGCGTATTTTGCCGCCGCTGGCGAAAATTTCGCCACAGAAAAAGTTCATTTGTTGTTCTTTCGCGCCGTCAACGAAAGGTCAAACAGAAGTTGAAAATTTTAAGCAACTGTAGCAGGAGAACAAATGTCTTCAGCGGCGAATGAATGTAAAAAATTATTTCTTTGTCAAAATTTTTCGCCAGCGGCGGCGAAATACGTGAGTGGAAAACCGGCTTAAGAGAGTCTTGTTGCCTAGCATTAATACATAAACTTCTGGTTAATGCTCGATAACTGGGCTCTGAGCTCATTTTGTTAGAGTACTGCGCTGAAAACGAAATTGCCTGGTCGGATATTCGACTCCTGCCAGAGGGCTGAGATAGTTGCATATATTTTGTCTACAGCTGTAAAGTGTTAGTTTCCACTCGAAGTACTCGAGGTTTCCATATTCAAAAAACCCTTCAACAGTTCGCTCGCATCGAGTGAGATTCCCCAAATTCCGATATTTGCCACTGCATGTAATTATAGCCTCGTTTTTTTCGGTCTGTTAAAAATATTTCGGACATTTTAGCATTGGTCATGTCTTCATTTGAAATAATTCATGGTTGTATTTCAAATGGGGTTGGGAAGCAATCGTATTATGGAATTTGCGATTCCATCACTAAGTCGATAGTATATCCATATTATTTCCACACTATATCCATAATATGAAAATTGCAATTTAGGTGTTGAAATTGGATTTCCCCACTATTTTTAGCGAGGATGCATACTATTACGTACTTTGTCCATAGTAAGGATTTTGACAAAAAATTTTCACTAGTAATCTAGAAATAGTTGCATGGTAGCTATATTTGCGTTAGGAAACGCGCGAACACGTCAAGTAAATGAGTTGTCGTGGTAACACGATAATTATTCTCATTTTTTTACAAAATTATGGCACAAATAATTAATAGATTCGTGCTTTTTATTCAAGCTTGGACTCTCCGAGAAACGTTTTGAAACGTTCATTAAACATTTACAGCTTTTGCCTGTAAATTATTTGAAGTATTGTTAGTTTAAATCAGTTCAAGCGCTACAATACCATCTACCAAAAAAAGTGACTCCCCTTTTGCTAATATAAAATAGGTGGATAATTTATAGCCTGTGTGCAGTCCCAGACTTCCAAAGGAAGTGGGGATTTTGCAACCTCGAACCGCAAGCTTGCTACGCCCGCTCAGCTCGTGTTTCAGATTTTTGGAAAATAATTTATGCACGAAAATTAATACGCTAAATATGCTGCCGCTCAAAAAACAAATCATGCAAATATGGCGGCAGGCGAAGGAGCATTTGATTTATGTGCTGTGTTTTCTGTCGCCATTTCTACATTTCTACAGCGCGCGCGCGCTTCGAAATGTTGAAAAAATTATCCAGATTAAGAAGAAGCCTTGTGTATTGTGTGGGTACACATGCAGCGGTATTTACCCACACACCTATATTCTTAAACATACAAATGGAATATAAATAGAATCAGTGGTGTATACTGCAATATTCCATTCGTAATTATTGTTAATCATGCAAATATTTAACAGTGAACTCCAGACCTGTACAGACTGATACTTTGTTGCACACTGGTCATGTGCACCAAATACTAGGAAATATTAAATATATATAGCCAGAAGCAAGGTTCTGCAGAGTACATGTGACATTGGGATCTGAATGTTAATCATGTATACATTCCGTACTGTATTCGATTTCACTGTACCGTAGACAAATAGATACCTAATTCAAATTACAAAACAATCCAAACCAAAGGAGTTATTTATATGCCTTACTTGACCCTTCATAAGTGAAATAAATAGCGATATCACAAGTACTGTTCTTGTGCAAATTGCTTGGTCATGTAGAACATCGGCAATAATTGGCATGGTGTGGGAAATGGGCGACTTCTCATAACCAGTGTAAGCACTAAAAACAAATTTCTGCCTTTAAGGAAATTAGATAAGGCTTCTTCTTGATCTGGATAAAAATTTTCAACATTGAGAAGCGCACACGCTGTAGGAATGGCGACAGAAAACTCAGCATATAAATCAAACGCTCCTTCACTTGCCGCCATATTTCTATGATTTGTTATTCGAGGCTTAGAGCGGTTGGCCCGCAGCAAATTTTAGCATATTAATTAATATTCATCCATAAATAGTTTTCCCCAAAATTTGGAAAACAGGCTGAGCGAGCACAGCAAGATTTCGTTCGAAATTGCGCCGCGCCTACTTCCTTTGGCAGTCTGGGACTGCACGCAGGCTAGATAATTTAGGAAATTTTAGTTCATCTCACCGAAATTGTGAAGGCAAAACAATATTAAAAAAACAAATGCCGAACAATTTGTACAAGAAACTTGCCGTACATTTTACTAATTTTCATTAATAAATCTTTTCTCATCGTTCCTTGCATGCTCATTCCATTGTGATGCCCGCCCACGCGCGACGAACCATAACATCGCGCCCGCGATCATTGATTAACTTTTCAACCCGCGTAATTAGTAAATTATATATAACGTTTTTAAATGCAATAAAAATTTTTATTCGTTTTTTAAACTTGTTTGTATTGACAGCAGGTGTAAGTAAGCTTAGAGGAATAACATTCCAGAAAAGCATAATACAATCTCAAACAAGGATGATATTAGAATAGAGTACATGAAAAATATTAATTGGATATAACTTGAATAAATAAGTCGCGTTACAGGATTTCTTTTAATTTAAAGTTTAATTATAAAATGCTGCTTCCAAGATCGAAACACAGTACATATAAGTGTTGTATTGCAATTTATCACATACTTGTACCTTTATCGGGTAGGAAGCAGCGGGACATAAAAACTATATCGTCCCGGATATCGCTTTTTGTCGCGGATATCGTTTTTTGTCCCGCTAAATTTCGCGCCTTGTCAAAACAAAGATGGCCGACTCGAGGTTCGTGTCGGTTGATATTTTGTTTATAAGTTAAATTATACTATATTTAATTTTAAATTGTTTATTATTTATATGAATAGCCTATTTATTTTCTAAAATCATATTTGTTTAATAAATGATGAAATAAGTTCTTTGTATGTTTGCATGGCGATAAAACTTATAATAGTTTTGTTTGTGGAAACACCACGTAAATTTATTACTGCAAAACTTTCGATCCGTAACCCGGATCTTCATCAGTGCTAATAATATGTATGTAATAATATGCACATATTATTAGCACTGATGAAGATCCGGGCTTACGGATCGAAAGCTTTGCAGTAATAAATTTACGTGGTGTTTCCACAAACAAAACTATTATAAATGATGAAATGTTTTTAATTTTAAATGATCCTATTTTTCAAAACTGCTACTTTTAGGTTATCGTACTCGGGATTCGGTGATATCAGTTTTATCGCTCTCGGGACTGTGTATCATCCAACAAAACTAAAAAACTGATATCACCTCATCCCTTATATGATAACCTATACATCTCGACATATCGTTTCATGCATTATTTTTTGCTTCTCCATTCTTGTGGTACTCATAACTTGCCCTAAAAAGCTATATTTTTTCAAAAGCGTGCTGCTACAAGTCAATTGTCTAATGACATGTTTTTTCCCCTAAAATGTTCCCTTACTCTTTTATTTGCCATCGGGAAACTTTGTTCTATTCATTACTTCAGACTATACTAAAATCTGGCTAAAAATGAAAAAGATATCGAAATAAAACCTTTTTCATTAATATTTTCTATTTAGATGGAAGTTCCTTTCTGTCATCAGTGCCATCGTATCAGTCCAGGTTCATGAGTAAGTATAACCCACTTATATTTTCCTCAAACATGACACCCTGTTCACACTAGCCTTGCAGCAGCGTCTTATATTTAACGTCATAGTATTGGAATAATAATTGTCGTCCAAAATTGTGTAGTTCGTCATTTGAGCATCCGTTACAGTATTCTTAGAAAGGGCCTTTAAATAGTGTACATAATAAACGAATGAAGATTAAATTTCACATAATGGTACTTTGTTTTGTTTCAACAAGTGACCCGTATAAGTTCCGTGCAAGGCATGCTTTTCCATTAGATTTCCCAATGATAACATAAATTTGTACTAGCTGAGATTGGAATAGATCGCCAGTAATGACTGAAATGTGCATAAACCAATGCCTAACTTTACTATATACGTTGTATGTCAGAGAACAGTAGACAATTTTCAAATGGACTGTCAACTTTTATGAAACATTATGTACATAATTATAGATTAATTCGAATCTTCTGATTTGTTGAATACTAAACTTTTTAATAAGAGTTGTTGTGGCTATCATTCTAAAACTCGCTTAATAATGAAAGTTTAAAACGCGATTTGAATCACAGTGGGATAGGTTAAAATTGTTTTTTTTGAACTACCAAAGTCGAGACCAATTTGATATTGATTCTGATCAGGATGAAAGATTCTGATCACGATGAAAGTTTAGAGAAATTACTCTCACAGTTCGCACAGCTCTACATCCATTTAATATAAGTACAAAAGTTGACCTTGCAGAAAGTGATCTTGCAGAAATGAACGACAACAACAACCCCATATGCAAGGCCCGCAACCCCCCCCCCCCCCCCCCCTTGTAAGGGACATGTTGCAACATCAAACATGACATTTGATGGTACTAGTGATAAACGGTTTGGTACCGAAACAACAAAATGCCGTATACAGGCCATGCAAATTTCAATAACGTTCGGGAAACGAGAGAGGAGGTCCAGTCGCTGAATGTCGCCCATGCGATTGGCATGCAGTTTTTCTCTTCTTAAGCTTTTGATGTACTATTTAAAACACGAGGAGGAGTGCTTTATCAGATATAAAATACAAGGGCGCAGCTCGAGTGTTTTATATCTGATAAAGCACGGACTGCGAGGCTATATTTTCGATATATTACAGTCTAACATAAAATGCGACTCAATTACCCTTGCAGCCCGATTTTGATATTTTTGCTTTCTGTTTTTCATTCCAATACCGCAATTGTCCCATAACGGTCTGCAATAATCAAAGTAAGACTGCACGATGGCATTATACAAGAGAACTGAAAATACACGTCATGGCCAGAAATCACGGACATGATTTATTCTACTTCCTTCGTAGCTTTTGCATATCACTTTGAAATATGGCTTCAACTTTAAATAGTGAATTATATAATGCGAGGTTGCTAATAGCAAAATCTGAGAATAATGTAGGTCGTTTGCAACTTGCCTCAATAGCTGGCTCCGCTGCTAAACAAAGTCTGCCGAAGTATTTAGGGTGATGTTGGCCTGATTTCCGTTACTGCCTATTCTGCATTTTCAATATTTGTACAGAGGTTAGTTTTTACGACATTTGTCTATTTAACTCAATACTAGAAAATACACGCATGCAGAAACCCTCGCCTTGCTGACAAAACCATTATGTTTTCCAAACATGAAGTATTGTCATGGTAACACGATAATTTTAAAAATAGTTTTAAAATTGAAAAATCCGCCCAAAATATCACTTTTAATTACAAAATGGTCAATTTCCCAAACATATATATATATATGCTAGGTATGTTATTATACGTAATATAAGCTTCAAGTTAATGTAAAAATCAACCACAAACGCTTCGCAAAACGTTTCAAAATGTTCCTAAAACTAAACTGCCTTTTATCGAATATCGGTAAACATTGAGTTTCAAAATTGAAATAAAATGATTTCAAATTCTTGCATGAAAATAACTATGCTTTCCTCTTTATTTAAATATTTTAATATACAAAAAAAGAGTAATTAAAACTACACTCAAATTATATGCTGTCTTTTTTCACTTTATATATACGCAACCATCGTATCAGTTTTTAAAGCAATTATAAAGCAAACAATACATTATATTAAAAACAAACTTACCTTCATTAACGTCGGCGACTTTGCTCAGTTCTTTTAGACGGTTTTTGACTTTCAAAAAGGTTTTAAAATTCCATAATCTTGCAAAAATACAATATATTTGCTGTCAGTAAATTGCTGATTTGCAAGAAATGTTCGTTATTTCGCTGTCGTCATTTGTCATCAAATCAATCGCAGCAACAAATTTTAAATTTGACCAATCGGTGTTCGCTATTCATGACAGTCCGCCACAGATTTTGAGATCAGTGAGGATGACCACCCAGTCAACATCGTTGGTCACCCACGCCCGCGATCATTGATGAACTTTAGACTTCGCTAATGTTTTCGTTTCCCCGGGTGTAAATAGCCGGGCGAAATTAGTACCCTCGCCCCGGGCTTTCGCCGGAACGGCGCTCCGCGCTGTTGGCTCGGGGATAAGAATACCGTACTACTGCCGGTATAGGAACAAACGAAAATGCAGAATAGGCAGTAAGTTCAACCAGGCAAACATTACACCGTATATATATTTTTACAAGCTTTGTTTTGCAAGCGGCAATTAAGGCAAACTGCAAACGACCTACCGTATTCTCTGATTTTAAAATTTACTGCATCGCATAATATAATTGATTGTATAATTTACTGCATAGAATTATCATGTCCGTGATTTCTGGCATTACATTACATAAGTAGCAATTTTGACAGTTAATGAAACACTCTTTACATTTCACTCCCATGAATTCATGCAAATCGCGTTCTAATGTGGTTGGCAAAAGCGGCCATTTTGCACTCAAAGTTATTATTGTAAACAATATTTTAGTGTACAAGAATTGAGAAGATCTTTAATTATCTACCCAATTGCAAATAAATTTTCACAAAAGTTGCAGAACTTTCTGTGTAGTTACCACACTACTAGACAGTTTACGATTCACGACGCGGCGAAAGAAGACGCGTTAGAAAGGCTTGGTAACTAGCGCGGCCCAAGCGGCCGCGTCATCTTATTCTGTTCCCTACGTTACGAAATACAACGTGCTAGCGTAAACCGTTTATTTTGGCGGGAAAATTTTGGTGTTTCAAAAACTTTGTAATGTTTGTTTAAACACCACAGAAAATGTATTCAAAGGTATTACTTCATCAAGAATAAACAGTTAATAACTCGATACTCACTTGAAATTCGCAGCGTAGTGATCACAACGTGAAATTGATAAAATTCCGTCGTAGAATCATCAACTACGCGTTGGAATTACACAAAACGCGTTGGCCGCGCTAGTTATCAAGCCTTTCTAACGCATCTTCTCTAGCCGCGGCATGAATCGTAATCTCTCTAATAACTTGTTGACGAAGGGCCACTCTATATTTTTCATCTAGTTGTATCTCGTAGAAACTGCTGCCATTTAAAAATTATCTGCTCTTAATTTGATACACACTGCAGTAAATAATATTTACATGGAACCAAGCACGCACTAATTGCAATAAAGTGTATTTGGGTGTGAATTAAATATGAAAAAATTTTTGTTGGTATACAAAATTTGATTATTGCTATGCAATACTTCAGTTATTCATAATATAGCTAGTTTAATTAAGGTTGTCTTTTCAAAGTCGAATTTTTAAGTCAAACCTCGATCTCTAAGTCAGTTTTGATATACATGTAGATGGTGCAGACAATAATTCAAAACACTTACCGGAACAGTTTCTATTCTTCTAAAGAAACACTCAGTTACATTCCTTGTATACTTTGTTATTTTGAATGCTCACTAATTACTTAGCTGCAGTTTCGTCATCTTATATAGGATGTAATATATAAATAGGTCACTGTGTTGTTTACTTAGTTACCCATTGAAGGCTATAGATGTGACAAAAAAGGGTCGTCGAATAAAAATATTTTGCCAGAGAACGTTTGAATTTAACATGTTAAACTCCGTTAGGAATTTAATTGACTTGGTGAGCATAAATAATAGACATATGTATTAATTAGAATAACATAACAACTATAATTCCGTCATTTTGCCTGGGAGCCTCACTCTCATGAATCGTGAGCCAATCACCTTTGGTAATTTATTAATGAGAGCGAGTCTCCAGGACCAAAAAGTATGTGTGACGTAATCATCGAAAGGGTGCATGTATTATAAACACGCCTTTGCGCTCTTTTCGCCTATAAAAGTTGAAGTTTTGCGGTTTTGAATTCTGGTTTTCAGAAGACAACGTCAATTAAATTAGCTATACAAATAATTATAATGTTGAAAATTAAAAGTATATTTTCCATGTTGTATTTTTTCCAGGCACTACGAATAATTATGGCAAACATTTCCTTTTTGGATTTACAGCTCCATATTACAATAATAGATATGACTATATTGGAGTATCAATACTTGCTCCCTACGACACAAACGTAACGATCATCGGCACTCTGTCAAGGAGACCTTGGAACTACACTGTTCATATTAAAGAAGGGGAAAGTTTTGAGTATAAGCTACCGATTTCACTGCGAATGGACAAATCATTATACGGCCAGAGCGGTATTGAAATTTCATCGACGAGAGATATTTCAGTGTTGTGTTTAAATAACCAAGGCTATCAACAGGCGGCAGATGGATACTTGGCATTGCCAACCAACACGCTAGGTTTAGTTTACGTTGTTGCATCGTATCAACCATATTCCTGGCAGTCGGGTGCGAATTTTGCCGTCGTTTCAGCACATGAAGACAACACGATTATTGTTTTGCCCAACAAAAATGTTGTCATTCACTCTCGTGGCCTCTCTTACGCTAAGGGGGCATCTCTGTACGTAACGTTGGAAAAGCACGAAGTGCTATACATTTCAAGTACATCAGACGTATCTGGAACATTGGTTGCCTCAAGAAAACCTGTAACTGTAATATCTGGTGTAGATCGTGCTCGTCCTACAGGTTCTATAAGAGGAGGGTACGATTTCTTTGAATCTGTGCTTTCACCTGTTTCTCTTTGGGCAAAATATTTCATCCTGACAACAGTGGGAGCGATGGATAAAAATCAGGGCGATGTTTTTCGAATCTTTGCGTATGAAAATAATACTGTTGTTGAATGTGCGTACTGGACGAAAGTTTTGTCATCCGGGATATACGCAGAATTGGTATTGGGACAAAATCTGGCATCAATTGTTAACTGCAGTAAACCATGTCAAGTTGTGCAATACATCAGAGGCGAGTCAATTGGTGGGAAATCTGCTGCCCCTTCAATGATAATTCTTCCATCAGTAAACCAGTTCCTTTCTTACTATCGCGTAATACTTCCCTATGATTCAGAGTATTATGATACCATTAATATAGTGATAGAAAATGATCATATCGAAGGCTTGTTTATGAATGGAATAAAACTGAATGGTTTACGATGGAAAAGGGTCAATGGAACAAACTACGTATGGACCGTAATAAGTTTGTCCGATCCGACTACTGTAACAATTTATCATGCTTCTTCGGCAATAAAGTTTGGTCTCCTTGTGTATGGTTGGAATAATGGTGCTTCGTACGCGTACTCTGGTGGCTTTAGTTTGAAGAACTTTTCTCACGGTGAGTCGGCTGGAGATTCGAACATGCCTTTTACTTAAGGTTGAAAAAGCGGTTTAATGTGGCTCCCTACAGTTATAAAATTTTAAGTATTTCAGGTAACCTTCGCTTTCAACCAAATTTATATTGAATACACTTAAGGTGTAGGGTAATGTGGTCATTTCCCAGAAAGTTCAGAAGTCTTCTGCTGTCGATATACAAACAAATAAGAACAAACAGGTTTTCCTTCGGTCAATTTTTCTTATAAATTTTTTTGAAGATTTATGGTTAATTTAATAGAAGAATTATAACATTAATTTAATTTATTGTACGATCATCCAGATTACAATTTTTTAATTGTTTCTGACGTTTCGACTACCTATACGGCAGCCATTATCAAAGACGTATTATAGTTACAAAAAATTTACAGTTATAATAATTTTATCTTGCGTCAAATTGACGTGCGCGTGTTCGTGAGGTTGTTTGCTCGCGCGTGCGTTTAAAGTACGAGAGCCTGCGTTCATGCGTAATTAGTCAAGCGTATGCGCTCACGAACACGCGCACGTCATTTTCACGCAAGATAAAATTATTATAACTGTAAATTTTTTGTAACTGTAAATCTGTAATACAGTTTGATAATGGCTGCCGTATAGGTAGCCGAAACGTCAGGAACGATTTAATTTTTTTTTAATCTGGATGATCGTACAATAAATTAAATTAATGGAGAACCCGGATTCAAGCCCTTCAGAAGAATAACATATATTAAAGGTAATCTACAGTCCGATCTGCGCATGTGCACAAATGAGCCCACTTTTTATGATACAAACAGTTTAACTATGTTTTGAGTTCTTGAAAAGCCTGATTGTTGTTTCTTGATCATTTATTATACTCTAGAAACTTGAAAATATAAATAGTTGTCGAATAAAGCTCAATATTTTGGACACAAAAATGTAAACAAAGGCTTTGTTTACATACGGACTGTAGATCACCTTTAATATAAGTCTGCCTTTTTTGAAAATGATGGCATATTCTATTCTAATTTCGCAGAAAATGTTTTAAAGGGGAACTCCTATAAAAAACATTTGAAATGATAATTTCTCAACCATTCCTCGTTATTAGGAGAAGAACAAATAAGTCACATGGCATCATTCAAGTCAACATTTCGAGGTATGTTTAAAGAGTACTTTTACGTGAAGAATTCGCATTATGCTTTTACCTAGAGTTATATTTGAAGTATTGGTTTTGTCACGGTTTTGTATATTTTCTATAACCATTGTTCTTCTACGATTAAACGTCTATTTCAAAATTTTAACGAAACATGCGGTTAGTTTGCAGTTTTACTAAAATGTTGAAATAGTCGCGTCATCTCGAAGACATGTATCTGGTATGGAAGCCTTTTAATTACGGATACTTCGCTATCGTGGACATTTATTTGTATCCATAAAAAATTATTATAATAAATTTTATTTAAATAGACCTTATAGACGTCAGTTCTTAATATAAACCCTCGTTTTGACATATAATAAATCTCCTCTGCATCTAAATAGTTTAATTTACCAACGCTTTCTTCAGTTATCAACACATGCTAAAACACCATACGTTGCCAAATTAGAGAAATATGCTAATATTATATCTTACACTTAAGAAATAGAAAACATTTTCCGTGTTTCTATAGAGTTATAGAAACACGCGTGGAAGATTGGGAGAAACGAGAAATTGCGTGGGAACACGATTACGAAGAGCGAGTGTTTCCACGCAATTTCGCGTTTCTCCCAAACTTCCACAAGTGTTTCCATAAACTCTATAGGAACACGGAAAAAATGTTTTCTATATCTCTTATTAAATTGCTTTCTAAAAACAATAAAATTTTAATTACATTCGTTCAAATATCAATTCTATCTTAAACTCCCGCTCAAATATCAATTCTATCTTAAACTCACGCGGGTTGCTCACGCAACCCGCGTGAAAATCCCCGTGTTTCTATCAAGTTATAGAAACACGGGTTTTTTTAGCTTTTGACCAATCAGCGCCCGTGAATTTAAAAGGCTATTTTATAATAAATAATTTAGCACATATACTCGGGATTTGGATAATGCTTTTAGCGCAATTTCATTGGTTGCTCAACTCCGGATATTTAATCTTTAATCTTTCTAGAGTTTCACATTAAATAGCATACACCAACTTACAATGTGAATTACATTTAAAATTTATAAGAATCTAACTAAGGTTAACGTTAAAGGTATTTTTACAAGTAATCTTTAATTAAAAAGAATTTGAAGGAATCGACAAATTTAATTCGACTCCAGCCTTCGGTTAAAACTTTCAATCCCATACACAATAGGGCTATTTTTAAATCGTTCTGTTCGATATCTAAAATTATTCAGTCTTTCTCCATTTGATCTAGTTTGTCTCCTCTGTCTTATCTGATTAACTGCTTCTGGCAATAAGCTATGTAATCTATGCCTAGGGTCTATGATTGTTTTTGTTGCATGCCATATATGGCATGCAACTTTCATATAGCTCTAAATTTCATGTCGTCGTGTTCAGTGTTCGTACCGGTGGTCGTAAATCACGTGGTAGATTCGTAAAGTACGAGCGTACGACAAATACGGAGTTTTTCCGACGAGCATTCTAAGCCGGGTTTTCGTCGAGGAAACGCAAAGAAGTACTGATTATTCGCCGAAAATTTACAAAATTGAGCGCCTTAGAAAAATAAATCGAGGTAGGTAAACCTTTACTGTTTTTAACTACCATATATTTTTTGTTATTTGTTGTGATTTTGCAGCCGTTGTGCTCGCACTGATTATCTATCAATTATCAGGCGTTTATATTTATATCTCGTGAAAGCCTCAAAGCCCAACGCTATCAAAATACTCGATTTTTATTTTCTCAAACTGAAACGGAGCCATTGTGCTCGCACTGATAATATTGTGCGCAAAGCTTCAAAACTACAGCACATTTTGTAAATAACATGAAATATAAATGTCAAACAAAATTGAATTATAAATAGTATACTATTGAAAATTAATACAACGAAATAGCAACCATTGTGAAGTACGCATAGGATTCAACATGACATTCGATGTACATTACTGTAGATTAATTCATTTCAATCACTCAAACGTCAAAATGGTAAATAATAATCATTTTCAATCTATTATAGTAATTCGTCGTTTCCATGGGTTTTTATACCTTTAAAAAGTTACAATAAAGCTAAATCTAAAGGAAATAACGTTATTTAGTTATAAATTTGTAGTTATAAATTTGTTAGTTATAAATTCGAAGTAGCCGCCGGCTGCCGACGTTAGCCGGCAATTTTAGGACTTTGCCGGCAATTTTTAATTCCAAAGCATAGGGGCTCGGCGAGAATATTTATTCACCGATGACTCGCTTACAATAACAAAACTTGTTAATGTTTGTTCCTACACCAAATAAAATGTATTGCTGTGTTCTTGCGAATGTTGTGTTGGTTTACATAACTATATTATTTGGCCTATGCCCACTCCAGAACACAACTAAACTTCGCTTGGAAAATAGCCGGCAAAAATTTTCACCTACAAAAAAACAGCCTACAAAATTTGACATATTTTCAGAACGTTATTTCGAACCCTGAACAGTCAATCGCTTTCGATAAAACCTTGACCCCCTTGACCTTGTGAATGTTATTATTTAATACCGTCGCTTGCAACTAACTATATTAACGGTCGCTTATTAAAACGTTGCCTATTCGCGTGTCTCTGCAGGGGTCTACACCGTAGGCTAATTTGTGTGAGAATCTTAAGTTTTCTTATTTTGACATAATAGCTATTTTTCAATCAATATATTGATATTAAACTTATTGAATCAATATTTTAAGTTTCACGCCAGTTGTACCAAAGGTTATAAGCGCTATAGGCTATAGCGCATCCTAAGTTCCAGATGGCATCCAACATGTACGCACTGCGTACCTATTTTTATAAGGTTTCCACACATCTCTTCCCTACGATTTTTTAATGTTTTAAGGTTACATTCCAGTGTAAACGCTTCTTCATATGTCAGACCAGGACAAATTATCCGAAGCGCAAGCTTCTGAACTTGTTCGATATCAATAGATTGTTCCTTGGTTCAGTTTATATCCTTGCGATATTCAACTGCAGACTAAAACAAAATGGATTTCCGTTTTGTTGCGGTTATAATATTATACCGACGACCAAATTTTCTTAGGCTACTAAACGAAACTGTAGTTCGCAAACACAGTAAAGGCCATGCACGTGCAAAGTTTTGTTTAGCCGTGTGTAGAGATATTCTTTAAAATTATTTTGGGGGAATAAAATTACTAAAAATTTGCAAAAACTGTTTTGCTTACAACTATGGCGGGAACTGTGATGCACACTGTTTATTCTCGTTGCTTTTTGGTAATTTCTGTTCTGTTTTGATATATGCTAACACAATTATTCACATCAATATCCTTGCACTATCCACTTCCACTTTGGTGAACAATTGTTACTTGTATAAATGTACTAACCGATCAAGCTAATTTGTCAAAAGTAAAAAAATTTAATTTAATGTCTTTGTTTAGATAAACTGACTAACTATGGAAAGAAGTTTGTTTTTGGATTTACCGCGCAATATTCCTTCAGTGGTGGTGGTCACATCGGAATATCATTAGTGGCTCACTTTGATACCAACGTATCAATTACAACACACACATCGACCAATCCGTTGAACTTTTCTTTCTATATGAAAGAAGGAGATTCCTTGCAGTACACTCTGCCGCTCTCTCTGCGAATGCAAGGGAAACAGAATAAAGGTATTGAGGTTTCTTCGACAATGGACATTTCGGTAATATGTTTGGATTACTACAGTTCTTATGGTGATGGATACTTAGCGCAGCCCACTCATGCACTAGGTATTACCTATATTGTTGCATCATATCAACCATACAATTCGTACTCACGAGCTGACATTGGTATAGTATCAGCACATGACAAAAACAACGTTTTAATTCAACCAACTGGGCAATCGACCATTAAATACGAAGGAATCTGGTATAATCATGGTAATCCACTCCAGGTTCCATTGGATAAACTTCAATCTATACAGCTAACTAGTTCATCGGACTTATCTGGGACAATCATATACGCCTCCAAACCAATTTCGCTTGTCTCCAGCGTAGATCGTGCAATATCTGACGGCTCTGGACGAATTGACCGACTAGAATCATTTCTTTTACCTGTTACCCAGTGGGGAAAACAATACATCTTGACCACTGTGGGAGCAACAAGTAAAAAGCAAGGGGACGTATTTCGGATCTTTGCGCATGAAAATAATACGATTATTGAGAGTGCGTATTGGACCAAAGTTTTATTATCCGGGACATACGTGGAACTGATTTTAAAAGAAGGTCTCGCTTCGTTTGTTAATTGTAATAAACCATGTCAAGTGATACAGTACATAAAAGGCGAGGTCATCGGCGGGAAAAATGCGGACACTTCTATGATAGTTCTGCCCTCGATAAAACAATTTTTGCCATACTATCGTATTGTTCCTAGTTATACGTCGAATTTTTATAGTTCAGTGACAATCACGATTGAGGACAGTTACACCAACGGTTTGTACATAAATGGATTGAAAATAGACAATCTAAATTGGATCAAAATTACGGGAACAAGGTACGTTTGGACAGTCGTTAGTACACCTGGAACGAAAATTGGTACCTTCTATCATTCTTCACCTGAAGTGACCTTTGGATTGTTGGTGTTTGGCTGGAACAACGACGTTTCTTATGCTTACCCTGGCGGGTTTGCTTTCGAGCATTATAATACCGGTAAGTATTCACAAAGACACTGCTAAACAAACAATTTACCATTGCTACACAAAAGCCTTAAATTGGCGTTTTAGGCCGTTTGCTGAGGCACCAAAAAGTGCCTAGAAAACGATTTTCATTTAGCATGTGTTAGAACTGAAATATTTTTACATTACTTACGATTTTCGAATATGCTGAACACGATTCCGAAGAGTTCCCGCTCCGTAGACCCGCAGTATTTTTAATTGCCATTTATATTTTCATTTATTCGACAAACAACATGCCATCGCCCGCCATTTTGAATTTCGTATAACATCGGCCTAAGTGGCCCAAGTCCTCTTATCTCGTCCCCAGCCTTTCCATTTCGTGACCGCGTTACGATTTAGATCGATGTTTTTTAGTGGTTTTCTTTTTTAACCTTTCTGGCTAATATTAGCTAGTGTTTTTCGTTACGAGTTTATAGGCCACATATTTGACTGAATTTTATCATTTATTTTCTCTTATAATTATGCTTTATTATACCATAATACAAAACATTTCCATATTTTATAATCCTATAGATTAGCTCAAAAGTAACTTCTGCGTTAAATGAAACAATGTCAATATTTGACTGGTTATCAGGGCAACCAGGAACATACGTACCTACAATTAACAACCCCCATGGCTAATATTAGCTAGTGTTTTTCGTTACGAGGTTATAGGCCACATATTTGACTGAATTTTATCATTTATTTTCTCTTATAATTATGCTTTATTATACCATAATACAAAACATTTCCATATTTTATAATCCTATAGATTAGCTCAAAAGTAACTTCTGCGTTAAATGAAACAATGTCAATATTTGACTGGTTATCAGGGCAACCAGGAACATACGTACCTACAATTAACAACCCCCATGGCTAATATTGGACCAGGAGGTTGGCCATTTCTTTACAAAATATCATGATGTATGGAATTATTATTTGTTACAACCTATAGCTATCAACATGAACACATTACAAAAATATGTATAGTTTCAGCTCGTAGCCAGCGTAATAATTTGCGACACCTACAGGCTACATAAAAAAGGTCTAATTTTCATCATCGCTATTGTCACTGGAACTGCATTCGTCGGGCGAATTATAGGTGTCAGAATCACTCTCTAAACTGTCCGTAATGTTCGTAGAGCTGTTTTTGCAGCCAGTGCATTTGCAGAGATCGGAGCACTTCATCACCGCCTTCACACACGAGCATCGATTGTTTTCGCAACCTTTCTTGCACTTACAATTAACGAACTCAAGAATTGAGTCGGGAGCTGGGGCAAGAGACATCCAGTTAATTGTGACATTTCCTTCTTCATCCAACTTCCAACCGTGGTCGCAAAAGTCTGGCAGACGTAATATTGGCTGCACGGCATGTCGCCAGATGTAGCATTGATAGTTAGCTCGACGTATATGGTTGTCAAGTGAATCTTGATTCGGGGGTAGTAACTCTTCATCGTATTTGCCGCCTTTAAACATTTCATGCCGAACAGAATTAACATCAGACCTACCTTCGTAACCGTAAAGGTGACACACGAAACCGTATAACCCATTCTTTAGTTGTGTCGATAGTGTGACGGTTTTACCCAAGTTTCCAAAAAGAATTGCATACTCGTCGTTCGTCCTAGCAATTTTCAACGCTTTAACTTTGGCTTTTCCATAAAAAGCACTTGTTGTGTCACAACCTATCAAGAAAGGATAAGCCTTGAATACATAAATGTCACATTTAATATAAGATATGTAATTGGAATTGACCGCGGAAGCTCAGATGGTACAGCGTTGGGCTAGTAATACCAAGGTCGGGACCTTGGTGTGCGAGAAACACTCGGGTAGGATCGAAAGACTTTGAAGTTAGGAAAGAAACTCTAAAAATGCAATTTTCGACAATATAGAGACTTCAAATTTCCAAAATTTTCTCGCTTGGCACCAACATATCTAGGGGATGGGAGGGGGGGGGGTCTGCATTTTAAAATAGTGTGCAGGGAGGGGTAATGGTATTTTGTATTTGTACAAAGGGGGGTCAAGGCATTTTGTTCAAATAACTGATAAATCTTGGCAGGCCCCCCTGGCATAAATAATAAATGGTCCCTGAAGCGTATTTTTCTCTTCATCTGTGAAGAGACATCAGGTGGTGACCACATAATGATTCTTATGTATGTATGTATGTATACGTAAATCGGTTTAATTACCCGTGAATGGATGGAAGCCTATTAACGAGGAACACCATTGTTCTCCGATATGCTGTTTCGTCTTGTTGAGCGAGATGATTCGCCTTGCATTTCCTTTCCCAGTTTCAAAAAACAGATTAGCAATAATGTCGTTTATAGCGTTCAGTGAAATAAGGAACACGTCTGTATCCGGACTCTTAACGATGACATTGGAATAAGACAGGGATGCATGTCTTGCGTGAGCAATCATACGAGTAGCTGCTTCCTCATGATCACAGGAAAGTTCTTCGATTTCAGTGCAGCTCATATCGCCCAATAACTCGGTTAACTTATGACATTTGTCTTCGTGTGCGAGAAACACTTCGACGCCTTTCAGATCCTGTGAATCCGCATTTCTCCAGGTGTTGAAGATAAATTTCATAATTTCTTCTTTGTTTTCTCCAGAGGCCATAAACTTCTTCCACTGCCGAGGAACTCGCTGTTGCTCGCTGTATATACGAATGACATTAGTTCCACCCATAGCTCGCTTGTCCCTCTCCAAATTCTTGATGCTTTATTCTGGATATCTATCGCAGACGAAATCAACCCGACTGAAATTTAAAGAAACAGCAGTGTTGACGATCTTAGCCAGCAAATCCATTGCAAGTTCGCCAAATGTTTCTGGGAGAACTGTCAATGTTTGTATTATTGCCATGGCATCAAAAATATATGCTTTGTCTCCAACAGGAAGGTCAACTGAACCATCTTGTATTTCATCTTCAATCATTTTGAGCAATTTAACTTTAACAGTCTTTACGAGGTCACCTTCATTCGTAGCCAATGGGTGTGGATACGGCCGGAGAGAATACGTCAACACTTCCTCCATCTCCAAATTGCGACTCTTGGCTATCAGAAGCATTTTCGCAAAAAGCGCTTTTGAGTTTTTCAGGGCCACGATCTCACCTTTCTTACTTTTGCTATTGACCTTCTTACCAATAAGAGAGAATGTCTGTAACTGCGTCTTCTTTATCTTGGTGTAAATGTCAGGTTCTTCTCCTACAATATTGGACTCCATAAACTCAACTGCAGCACATTCGCCTTTCTCGAGCATGGTTTTCATACCACTGGTTACTGACACAGTAGCGACAGATCCACTTGCTAAGTGCACCAACCCTTGGTATTCATTGTCAAAAGGGTTTATCATAGTCTGTACAGTCTGAATGACATTTGTAGCTGCTTTCTGGTCTGCTGCTATCCTTTTCTTGTCTAAATCTTTCCTCGACCTAGGCAAGAAATTTTTATCATTTTATTTCTGCAAAAAATGCATAATAAATAAAACAATACAAAATAAATAAAAATATGACGCACGTGGATGATGAATTATGCACAATGACAGTTTACATTTGCGTGTTTTATTGTGGGTTTTTATGTGGTATCTTCGTTACTGACCGTTTGATATCAGTGACACTTGCCATGGCTTCACATTGTCTAGTGATTGCACTCCTTTCTGCTTGACCCATTATCCAGCGATGCACTGCTCCCTTGTTTAACGTTATCCCCACAAGACCACTTTTCATTTTCGAATCTCTGTTCAAAACAAGAAAAAAATGTATGTTATTACAATAATCGTATTGATGTAAGCTATATTAACACGAAACCGCTATATTAAATGTTTTTTCGAGGCAACGATAAAGGACTACTAGCCTATTCAGGGTCTGCTCGATCGTTTGATCACACGCCACGCTTGAAAAAGCATACTCGTTCTGTCGTTGTACGGTCCAGTTATCTGCAATGTTAGCTGCCACATCTCCACAGGAATTATAGAAAAACATAAAAAGAGAACTCATTTAATTACTATACGGAAAATTAGTTTCAAGATTCAAAAGCAAATCTAATAATATAATTTAACGTATACGAGTAACACAAAATTAATGAATAGTGATCGTCACTTACAGGGGTGAGTTTTCTCTAAACACAACATTTCAAGCCAGTAGCACGGCGCGTATCTGGAGTAATTCACTCGATCCGTTGCAAAAAACCAGGGGATCATTGACCGGAGTGAACTAAGGTGTAGTTCCCAATTTGATGTTCTCGTTGCTCTGATGTAGAGTAGGAGTAGTTGAACCATGTCGATATATTTGGACCAGAGGGCAAACGTAGGATTCTCTTCGCTTCGTTTTTCCACGAACGTATCATAAGTCCTTTTTGCATCATTGACCTGCTTGCTCGTACAGATTTCAGTAAACGATTCTCTCTCAGAATCCTCCAGAACACTGATGCCAACCCAGTCAAACTGGTTGGACGCAGAACTTGCTAAGGACTTTTCAAATGCCTCAAATCGCATCCTTTGCATTGCTTCATAAATTAACTTGTGAACTCTTACAGAGCGATTATAATGCTTCCCAGATAACACACCTTTAACGGATCGAGGGGCAACTATCTCTGATTCGATCATGATATCCTAAAATATCAATTTGGAAAAATGCACACTGTTAATTGTACGTCGATCAATTTGCATTTGTCATTCAATAAATAAACGAACAAATATTTGGATTAGCTTAATAGATGATTTCATAGAAGGTGAACATACAAGCAAACACACAAACGCACAAACACACAAACTAATAAACAACAGGACGGACTTCCAGTCCCGCGTCTTTGAAAATTTTAGCTATGGCACTGCAGAACGACATAATGGTGTGGAAGTCTCCCAGCCTAATCACCAGTCGATTCTTATATTCTTCGTTCTTCCACCTTAGCATCTGCGCTTTGGCATAGAGCGCTTCATCAAATACCAGCACGATCTCTGGAAGTTGAAGGCGTTGGCATATAGAAACACTGTGCTTGAGTAAGGCATTAACTGTTGCCAAATCCGTGACTGGCGCATCGATCACCGGCAAGTAACCAATGTTTGTGACAGTAGGAATTTCTTTGTGAACTTGCGTACTGAGCCCGGTCCATCCTGGAAATAAGAGCCCACTCTCAGATGCGTACTTACGCGATAATGTGTACACAAAATCAACATTCCTTGCAAATTGCTGCTCATCTTGATAGCTTTTGTCGTCAATGGAAATGTCAGAACTCTGGCTTCGTAAAGATATGGTTCCTTTTTCTCGGTTGGTGTAAGGTGCGATATACGTTTCTGGTGCTTGTACAGTACGGCACGACTTACTCACAGTGACATGATCTCCCAAGGTTGTGTTCCCGTTTTGCAACATAATTCCATTCGCCACATGGGTAGTTCCCTTTCCAGAGACAGCTTCTTCGTTGAAGTCGTTGTTATCCCAAACAACTGTGGCAAACATGCCCGGGTTAATATTACGTGGAATAATGATATCTTGTCCTCTGCTGCTGGCAATGGCTAAAGCAGTGTCGTGCTTGTAAACAGTAGCCACCGATGCTGTGTGTCCCAACCCATGCAAGATACGAAGCAATCGAACTGATCCAGTGATTTGGCGAACGGTCATTCCAAGAGCCAGTGACTTGTGGGTAAATTTCCTGCCTTTCGATTCCGCATAGATCAGGTCCTGCGCTATCGACAATAGTTTAGTTTGCTCGTTTCCACTGATTTGCACCCTTTCCTCACGAAGTGGTTGATCAGAGAACCCCATAGCCCATGCTAAGAAGTTGTATAACTTCACTGGAATTGATTTCCTGGCACATTGCAAAGTTAGGTCATGGGAATCAGGGGGCCAGTCAGCATCTATGCCTTTACTTTCTTGCAAAAGCTTTTTTATTTCCATTGCAACGGAAAAAAATCTTGAAAAGAACAGCCATTAACCTGCGATGAAGTTTGGGTGATATCACTTAATGGATCGTCTGCATTGAATTCGTCATCGTCATCATGTGTATTGTTGTGTATTTCCATCAAATCATCGGCCACTTCACCTGGAATCACATTATCTGCATAAACGAGAGTTCCTTTATTCATAGTTTTTGAGGTATGAAAAATGATTTGCGGATATCGCATTCCAATCCTGGTCTTAAGTCTGGCAGCCTGGTAGGGTACGTCGATATGTTCTATTTCCTGCACACAGCTGATAAACGTTTTTAGTAGGTAGCTAAGAAATAAAATCTCCTTGTTTTTAATGATGCGTTGCTCAATTATTTGTGTGCAAAATTCTTCAAAGGCTCTATCATACAAGGTCGGACCAGAATCTCTTGATTTATTTGAAACACATTTCGTATACCTCTGGTAACAATGTTTGTGATGCCTTGCTTCTATAGCTACACAGTCCTTTCCACGAATATGCAAAAGTATACTTTCATCATTTTTTAACGTTGCCACCTTTTCCAAAATTCCAGCTGTTAACGTTTGTGCAACTGATAATTCTTGTTTTACACGTTTTTTTGTCGCCTATAAAGAATATATTTAGTGTATCAGATGATTAACTATATCATTGTGTATAATGCATATGTATAAGTATAATGCAACATAAAAATAAAAAAATACCTTATCTGTAAAAAAGATTGGTCCCGGTTGTTTACAAATCAAGCAAGACTTGGGTAAAACACTTGACGATCCAGAAGCCGATGTAGCATGTGCAGTTGCAAAAGATTGTCTCGTAGCTCGGGGTACTTTTTCTGGTGTTGGTTTGACTTCTTCCTCCTTCTCGCTGGGGCTGTCACCTTGACGCTTTCTACCTGCATTACTCAATGTTTTTTGGCCCTTTCAAACTTACTGATGTCAGTGAAATTGCGATAACATGCGGAATGATAGAAATAGTTTTTGCAATGTCATTTACGTTCAAACTTTCTGGGATAAACTCAAACGACTTTTTTGCTTCCATCGTAAAATCTTTATATTCCGACGATAGACATAGCCACTGTTTCCTTCTTTCGACTATTTTATCTAGTGTTTCTTGTGTTAAATATTTAATTTGCCCTTCTTTTCCCTCAAAATGAATTATACAAATGCCGTCACTGCAGTCACTGCCTTTATCCATTTCGCGCCATCTTTATTTTCACTAAAAAACATCGATCTAAATCGTAACGCGGTCACGAAATGGAAAGGCTGGGGACGAGATAAGAGGACTTATGCCGATGTTATACGAAATTCAAAATGGCGGGCGATGGCATGTTGTTTGTCGAATAAGTGAAAATATATAAAATGGCAATTAAAAAAATACTGCGGGTATACGGAGCGGGAACTCTTCGGAATCGTTTTCAGAGTCTTCGAAAATAGTAAGTAATGTAAAAATATTTCAGTTCTAAGACATGCTAAATGAAAGTGAACGATATTATGCCTCAGCAAACGGCCTAATTCCTCGACTTTTTAATGCTTTACAAATCCCAGAGACATACACCGGTTATCAGGGCTCTGTCTTCACAGGAATGGAAGGTTTATACTGACTATGCTACGTAGATTAACATATCCTAACAGATGGTGTGATCTTGTCTACACATTTGGTAGAACAGAATCTGAACTTAGCATAATTTTTAATATGGTAAGTTCTTGCAAGTTATATTAACTAGATAATTTGTTTATTTCGTGTAAGAAATAAGCTATAAAATTTATCTTTCATATTCTAGGTTATAAATGATATTTGGACTCAGTTCAGTCATTTGCTGAATTCTCTGGACTTATTTTGGCTAGATCCAGCAGTTTTTTCAAATGCAACACACCAGAAAGGTTCTCCACTGGACCAGTGTTGGGGGTTCATTGATGGAACAGCCAGGCCCATCGCCAGACCTGTGCGAAATCAAAATGTGATGTACAGTGGTCACAAACGAGTCCATTGTATTAAGTTCCAGGTGCCATTAAAATTAGGTTTTGTTTATTAGTTCATTATCTGGCGATGCATCCTACTTTTTAGTAGTTACTTCGTCTAACACCAGACGAATTTACTCCTCAGTGGTATAATACTGCCAGTAAAAGGGTTAACAAACCTATCTACTAATGTCTCTTATTAACCCATTATCTGGCAAAGCACCCAAATGCACACTACTTTAGTATTTACTCTGTCTAACGCCAGAAAATTTTACTCACATCAGTGATAGAGTACTGCCATTACTGTCGTTACAATTGAAGTGTTCCTCAAATATTGATTCAATACATTACCTCAGGCTGACCAATTCATTTCATCAAGTTCCTCGAGATATTCATACACTTCCCTTGAAAGAGCCAATTCCAAGTATTTGATCATTTCTGGTCACTTCCTTTCTATCTATGATTGGTTAGTCGCACAAACAACTCATTTTTCTCCTTATTTAGTCATTAATTGCTCCTAACGGCCTGATTGTCAACTTATTTGGACCCATAGAAGGCAGACGCCATGATGCTTTCATGTTAGGTGTTAGTGGGCTACTACCACAGTTAGAAAGGATAACAAAGCCAAATGGTGAACCATATGTTATCTATGGTGACCCAGCATATGGGATATCAACACATGTTATACCTCCATTTAGAGGTGCACATTTTACTCAACTGCAGCAGAAATTTAACCGTAAAATGAGCGAAGTTCAGGTGAGTGTAGAATGGGGATTTGGCAAAATCCTACAATATTTTGCCTACCTAGATTTTCGCAAAAATTTGAAAGTTCTCCTTCAACCAGTTGCAAAGTATTATATCGTGGGATAACTTTTGATCAACTGTCACACTTGTCTTTATGGCTCTGTAACCAGCTCATTTTTTTATTTGGCTCCTCCAACACTTGAACATTATCTTGCCAACAGGAACTAGAACCAGTCATGGTGTTTTGGGTTGGGTGCATTGCCAGTTAATTGGTTAATAAAGGAATAAAAGTAGTACGTAATAGAAGAAGTAGCTGAGTAGGTTATGTCCAACACGAAAACACTTTCTTCAACATTTCGAGTGAAGGCCCTTTGTCTTGTTATTTTTCAGGTAGTTGGATAACCAACTCAGTTAATACCCTATACTCAGCTACTTTTCGCGTTGCTACTTTTTCATGGCCCACATAATCCCCCTGCATATTTTGATCCCATTGCTATCTCCTAAACATAGGAAAATTAAGCAAACATATTGTTTCATAATTATTCATATATTTATAATTAATCATAATTTATAAACCATTCATAAATACATTGGGCTGTAAATATAGCATTTATATTACACATATTTATATATATATAAAAATATTTAGCATGTAACAACTCAAATATATATATGTATACATACTCAACTCAAGGAAATCTAAAATTCATGGTTTTTAATTATGCCTACAATTTGTCTTTTAGTAAACTTAAAAATACTCTTCTCTCTTCCATCTCCATATCTAGCCTTTCTTTTCGTTCAGCAGCCTCAGCCTCAAATTATTTTTTTGTTCAAATTCAAACTCCAACACCCTCTGCTTTAGCTCTTGTTCTTTAAGACTAGCCTTTTTATAATATTTAGCTTCCAGCATTTGGACTACAGATAGCCTGCTGGCTCTTTTTTTTTAGATGCTGAGAAAGTAATTAAAACAAACAAATTATGACCTAATAAAAAGCCAATCGTAAAGGCAAAGTGATATAAGCAATATAAATTGCAGGAACTTGAAACAAAATCTGATTTCAATATTAATGTTAATTGGAAAATCAGTAGTTCTGGGTGTTGGAACTTATTGTGAACATTTTCAATTAACCTTTTTGGAAATCACATTTTGTTGCAACTTGCAAGCACTGTAGGATTTTGCTCACACTGTATATATTAGTGATATTACAGTACTTAACCTTAACTGCAAAAACGCAAATGTCTGGTATTAACAGAGATTAAAAGAGATTTACCTTTTGGTGTTACTATGTTAATAGACTCTCCATCATTGTCATCCTCCTCCTCCTCATCTGAGATGCTTACACCTGATTCACTATGCTTTCTATCTGAAATAAGCAAATTAGCATGATTCACATCCCTCAAAAACAAGAAAACATATTTATCTGCCATTTAAATGCACCAGTCAAATCAAAGGTGTGACATTCCCCTGGGCATAAACCCGGGCATTTGACTGACCAGTGCATAATTAAGTAATCACAATTTAAGCAGCTTTTTCATCATTATTCTTTACTTGTCATTCCAATTAAAGCTGCCTCTCTCATCTGAGTTCCTTTTTCTCTAGTTTGTAATTCTTTTTCTTTTTTTCTCTCTCTTCCTTTGGCCTTCATATCCTTGAGCTCTTGCATATCTCTTCTGTAGCTACTAAGATATTCTAACAGCTGATCAAATTCAGTGTACTCTTCTTCTGTACCTGATCTGTAAAATGGCAACATTAAAATGTATTCGTGCACATGGGGAAGAGAAGACAGGAGGATATACGAGGGTTATTTTGATAAAATGCATGCATGAGAAACTTCCCAATAAGAATAGGAAGCCTTCTTAAGAGATGGATTAATTAAAATTGAGATGCCTCATTTTATGTTATTATTTTATGCACTAGCCAACAGACCTTTTTAAATGTCCTTAATCTGAAAAAGTCTAACCCCAAATCTTGGTGGACAGAGGTTAAACGTATCTCCGGTATGAGACCTGTATCTGGCAGTTTGCTTAACCAACTTCATGTCGAAGATACAGAACATTTAACACACAAAGGTTTTGCAGATTTAATTAACAGAAGCCTAATAGAACCAATGAATACTTATGATCCCTTAAATGTCACAGATTTTGAACACCTTGTTTGAGATTCCTGATTATCCGTTAGATGTAAACATGAATTTGACAAATACTGCATCGGTCTTGAAAAAACTGAAAAGCTTGAACCCGTACAAAGATCCGTGCCCTGATGATATCCCAAATTGGATTCTTCGTGATTATGCCGAAATCCTTCCTTCCTCTGTATCGGACTTATTGAATTCGTCCTACAAGCAAAAAAGACTGCCCTCATGCTGGAAACAAGCTAACATTACACCTATTCCGAAAGAGAGAAACCTGTTAAAAGCATAAGCAAACAGCTCCGACCTATTTCGTTAACTCCGGTTCTGTCTAAACTTGCAGAAGAGTTTGTTGTTGAAAAATATATCGCTCCACCAGTGTTTTCGTCAATTGATCCTTTTCAATTTGGTGGCATCCCTCGATCATCTGCTACAAAAGCCTTAATTTCTATTGTTCATGCGTGGACTCAAGCCACAAATGGAACTGGAAACGCTGTAAGAGTGGTTCTTTTTTACTACAAAAAGGCCTTCGACTTGATTGATCATAAGATATTAGCCACGAAAGTCATCCAATTGCCAATGCCAACTTTCATTAAGCGGTGGGTAATTGACTGTCTGATGAACAGACAACAACGGGTGAAACTTGCAAGAGACTGTATGTCTGAATGGATTGACATTCCTTCCAGTGTCCCTCAAGGAACCAAATTGGGACCTTGGTTATTCATCCTAATGATAAATGACCTACGCCCCCCACATCATGAGCGATGGAAGTACATCGATGATGCTACGGTATCTGAAATTATTTACATCAACACACCCAGTAAAATTCAAGATACAGTTGATTGTGTTCAAAATTGGTCTGCAGAAAACAAGATGCAATTAAATGCCTCCAAGTGCAAGGAACTTGTTATCAGTTTTACAAAACCTGAGAAAGAATTTCCGCGCCTTAAGATCATCTCAGGCCAAATCGAGACAGCGAACCACGCAAGAATCCTAGGTTTGACAATTTCTAAAGACCTAAAATGGAACCAACGCATAACTAACATAGTTAAGAAGGCGAACAAACGCATTTATTTTATTATTCAGTTGAAACGTGCTCACGTACCTGAAGCTGACATAATAAATTTTTACACTACCTGCGTCAGACCAGTCATGGAATTCAGTTGTCAAGTTTTCCACTTCGCCCTTCCATCCTACTTATCTAATGCCCTGGAACGGGTTCAAAAGCGTGTTTTATCATTCATCTATCCTCTGACAGGTTATGCCGATTGTTTACAACAATTGGGCATCAAGCCATTAAGTGACAGGCGTATGGATGCGTGCGAGAAACTGTTTAATGAAATCACCACAACACCAGCAGCTAATATGCATAATCATATACCATCTATAGATACTTTCTAAATTACGACCTTAGACACTCAAGGTCTTTTGTTGTTCCTCAGACAAAAACAAACAGATTTAAGCCCGCCGCACACGAGCGCACTTGTCGCGCGTACTTGTTATTCGTGACAAGTTGGATCGACAAAATTTCCTCGTGTGCGGGCAACATTTAAGGCATTTTCGTCATTCGTGACATGTAAACCAAATATCATAGACAATCCAGAAGACAGGGACTGGAAACGTAAGCCAGAAATATGATGACAATTCGTGACATCCGTGATGTGCCTGTCATGTAGCAATTACTTGGTTACCACGGTAACGAGTCTTTAAATTTACATAAAAACAAAGGCAAATGCGTGTAGTTTATGCAAAATATATCGTGAAAAAAGCTTATTATCTGAATTTTGGGATCGTAGTCGTGGAGTGGCTATACTAACAAAAGTAGATACATCCAAATTTTCATTTATTTCTATTCTATAGTGATGCTAAATGTAAAATTTGGATCGTGCTATCGGTAAATCGCGCACGCAGCAATTCAGTATTTCCAGAAAATACTGCCAAAACTAACCCTGTAACTACAAACTTAACCTGTTTTGTCTTTGACAATGAAGCCATTTGAAATCACAAGATTGTAATCTATCGAATAGGCTATATATTTTTTATATCAATCAAATATACACCTGTGGATGCATTTATCCAGTTTTTAAACTTATATTGGGTCATACAAAGGCAAAAACCACCTTTTAATGATTGCGTAATGTTTTTGAGAGCAAAAAAGTCGCTATTGCCATTGGCATTCTTGTTGGCATTGTCGAAAGTTAAGAGTGTTAAACATACAAAACTCATCGTTAAAAATAACTGAAACCTTGTTTTTATTTCTTTCTAATAATGGATGCCTTAGCAAAAAGGGTTTCCGAGAAAGAAAGGATTTGTTGTCAATAAAATGGAAGGTATATTAATTAAACCGAAATTGCCAAATTCAAATTTTAAAATACAGATCAAGGAAAACTTAGAAAAGATAACTTCAATCAATTTATATAACGTAATTACAGTGAAGCAAAACTGAATAAATATACGTAAACTTAATTAAAGAAAACTAAAATACGCAAACAAACCTGAATCGTGCCTGAAAGTCCACCCCAAATTGGAAATCAAAATTTTCGAACAAGCTCGAAAATTCTTTGCACTCGTCTCTGAATAAGCAGATCAATCCGCATTATAAACTTTACACACAATGTGATATACCTAACTCCCTTTTCGGTGTAGATTATTTAAACAATTTTCCAGTATATAAAGAGCTGTAAAACATCAGACAAGTACCGGTCCACAATCTATCGTTTTATTCGTTTTCGAAGCAACAGGCCATTCAAATCACATGGCACAAGCGTCACGCAAGCACATCACGGATGGCACGCGCAAAACATTAGGCGTTTCCAGTCCCTATCTTCTGGATTGTCTATGCAAATATCAAACATGTTTGATATTTTTCGTCATTCGTGACAAAAAAATTCTCGTGTGCGGCGAGCAAACGACAAGCGCGCCTGAATAGGCAAATTTGCGCATGCGTGCAACTTCCAGAATCAAAAACAACATGGCGGATCAAAATCACGAGCTCGTGTCTTGTTTTTAAATCTGCAAGTTATTATTATTATTATTATTATTATTATTGATACATGATATACATGAAGAAGGCCATATAAAGCCTTAATTGCCATGCATTTACATTAAAAATTTAAGATGAAATATTTACAGTTTACATCATACACTATGTAAAATATTCTTTATAGAAATACCTTATATAAAGTGAAATATGAGTTGTTAGATAATTAAAAATTTTAAAATTAAACTATGAAGGTTTGTAAAACTTGATAAAACTAAGATCTCGCTAAACTACTATTATAACAATTTATAGCGTACACCAAACGACTGTTCTTAAATCTCTCTGTTCGAAACTTAAAGTTATAATACATGTTGGGATTAAATCTGGTTTCTCTTTGTCTTGTATCTCTAACACGATCTGGAAGTAAGTTGTGCATACGGTGCTCGGGTGAAGATATATTTGCAATGAGTCTCGCGTCTTTCACTTAGCATTTGCATCTTAAGGCGATTTAAGGCCACTGAGTAATTGATACCTGGTAATATTATTCTGAAAGCTCTTTTCTGTATTCTTTCTATTTGATTGCTTTGAGCATTGGTTAATCCCCCATGCCACAACACGTCTCCATATTCCAAGGTTGATCTAATTACACTACAATAAAATTGTAGTAAATCCTGTGTTGGTGCCCCATACGTTTTAAGTACTTTGAGAAAATACAACCGCTTAGCTTCCTTGCTTTCTTTACGATAAACTCAGTATTTTTATCACATTTTAAGTTGTCCTGAAGCCATACTCCCAATAATTTGAAAGATGAGAGGATTCAAGTTGGGAGACATATAACTTGATACTTCTTATTGTATTTTTCCTGGCATGAAAAACAAAAATCATTTCTTTTGTTTTTTTAACATTCAATGCTATCATTTGTTCAGTACAAAAGTTTGATATCCTCTGGATATTAAATTCCATGTTTCCAATTGGTTGATTTGACTTATGGTTAGTTATATCCAATATTTCCGATAACGTAGTATCATCTATATATTGAAACTTGTTCCGTATTAGTTGAATTACCCGTAACTGCAACATCCGGTAGACGATTAATCTTAGCAATGAAGGAAAAAGGACCAATCTTGCTCCCTTGTGGTACATCTGCGTTGATGTATTGAAAGTATTGAAACTCAGACAATTTCCCGTCAAATTTAACTCTTTGTTGACGTAATACTTATTAATTTCTTCAACCGCATCTTCTGATGTTAGGGGTTCACCATTAACTGGGTTGGAAAGAAAGATTTTTTTATTGTTATTGATTCCGCAAACTTTTTTAATTGCATTCCACCATGATTTTGAATCGCTACCAATTTTCCTATTCAGGCGCGCTTGTCGTTTGCTCGCCGCACACGAGAATTTTTATGTCACGCGTACGAATGACGAAAAATATCAAACATGTTTGATATTTGGTTTACATGTCACGAATGACGAAAATGCCGTAAATGTTGCCCGCACACGAGGAAATTTTGGAAATTTTGTCGATCCAACTTGTCACCAATAAGAAGTACGCGCGACAAGTGCGCTCGTGTGCGGCGGGCTTGTGTGATTCTAAAAATCTTTTGTTGCAAACATGACATTCATAACGTTTGTCTCCAGTATGTGGTTTTTTGTGCCTACATAAATTGGCCAATTGTGAAAATCTCTTCTTACAAATACCACATTCATAAGGTTTGTCTCCAGTATGTGTTCTCTTATGCCTAGCTAAATTGGTCGATTGTGAAAATTTCATCTCACAAATATCACATTCATAAGGTTTGTCTTGAGTGTGTGTTCTCTTATGAACTGCTAAGCTGCCTGACTGCAAAAACATTTTGTTGCAAACATCGCATTCATGAGGTTTTTCTCCAGTATGAGTTCTCTTATGAACCGCTAATTGCCCTGAACGCGAAAATCTTTTGTTGCAAACATCACATTCATAAAGTTTCTCTCCAGTGTGTGTTCTCTTATGAACCCTTAAATTGCATGAGTTTGAAAATCTTTTGTTGCAAATATCACATTCAAAAGGTTTCTCTCCAGTGTGTGTTCTGTTATGGGCAGCTAAGCTGCCTGAATTCAAAAATCTTTTGTTGCAAACATCACACTCATAAGGTTTGTCTCCAGTACGTGTTCTCTTATGAACGGTTAAAGTGTTTGAGTGCGAAAATCGTATTTTACAAACATCGCATTCATAAGGTTTGTCTTCACTGTGTGTTCTTTTATGTCTCACCAAATTTCCTTTCCTAGAAAATACCTTGTTAGAAACTTCGCATTTCCTAGACATGGTTTCAGCTTTTGATCTTTTCCCCATACGGTCAAATATCGATAAAAATATCACCCAACTGTTCTCTCGAGTCTTTCTTTATTGAATCTTTATAATACTTCGGTTCTTACGAAATTTCTGATCATAAAAATGAGAATATTCAGAGACACAGTTTGCAAACAACACGTGTATCAAAATGTGACAAATATGGCCTAACGGCACATGGTAAAACGCGGTCTGGACTGGACTGGAGTCTATTAGTAAAACGCGGAGTGGACCCTATTAGTAAAACACGGACTGGACTCTATTAGTAAAACGCGGACTAGAATCACAATTTCGCGCCAAAATGGAACAAAATGGCAGCGAGCTTTAAAATCTCAACAAGTCTGAAAAGTGGACCCTATTAGTAAAACACGGACTGGACTCTATTAGTAAAACGCGGACTAGAATCACAATTTCGCGCCAAAATGGAACAAAATGGCAGCGAGCTTTAAAATCTCAACAAGTCTGAAAAGAAAGGCAAAAAAGTGTGGAAACTTTTCGAAAAAGAAAATAAGTTGGGTTGCAGTACGTTTGGATCCGTATACCTAGCAAAATACAAAGGAAAGACCAGAAAAAGTGGTTGCCAAAAGCAATGTCGAGCCCATTGATTCGAAATCCTGTTTCGAGAAAGAAGCCGCACTGTTGAACAGTACAAAAGGCCACAGGAACATAATCCGGTTAATTGAATTTTCAATAATGATGGAGTATTCTTGCTTCGATATTCGCCCGTTTGGAGTTGCAAAAAGTCTTTGCACTCTAGAAGATTTTGTCCATTTCGTAGACGAACTTGACTTTGCCTCCTTCGCAGACTTGCTGCCAACACGTGCCAAACTGATGTTGTCCGGAAGGTTTGAAATATTTGCACAGCAAGAATATCGTTATCATTCAATAAATATTATGAATTAAGAAATCACTTTGCACTACTTAATTTTCATTCAGTGCATGCTTTTTCAAGTACATGATGTATCGCATACTTTATGCCAAAGAATGCAAGCAAAAAATGCAAGGTCAGAAAAGTTCGGGGAAGCCGAAACGGGGATTTCATTGACATAAGAAATGACTTGTTTTGAAAGTCGAGCTAGAGACCGACTTAAGCCAAACTCAGCCATATGTTTCCTGCCGGTTTCAATAGATTCCGGTGATCGATATTCTCGTTGTGCAAATATTTCAAACCTTCGACAACATCTTTGGCACATGTTGGCAGCACGTCTGCGAAGGAGTCAATGTCAAACTCGTCTACAAAATGGACAAAATCTTCTAGAGCCCAAAGACTTTTTGCAACTCCAAAAGGGCGAAAATCGAAGCAAGAATACTCCATCATCATTGAAAATTCAAGGAAACGGATTATGTTCCTGTGGCCTTTTGTACTGTTCAACAGTGCGGCTTCTTTCTCGAAACAGGATTTCGAGTCAATGGACTCGACATTATTGTTTTTGGCAACCACTTTTTCTGGTCTTTCCTGTGTATTTTGCTAGGTATACAGACCCAAACGTACCGCAACCCAACTTATTTTCTTTATCGAAAAGTTTCCACTCAAACATCGGGCAACTCTGGATCCTTTTTTGCCTTTCTTTTCAGACATGTTGGAATTTTAAAGCTCGCTGCCATTTTGTTCCATTTTGGTCAAATTTTGGCGCGAAATTGTGGTCCTAGTCCGCGTTTTACTAATAGAGTCTAGTCCCCGTTTTACTAATAGAGTCCAGTCCGCGTTTTACTAATAGACTCCAGTCCGCGTTTAACTAATAGAGTCCAGTCCGCGTTTTACTAATAGAGTCCAGTCGGCGATTTACTAATAGAGTCCAGTCCGCGTTTTACTAATCTGAGTCCAGTCCGCGTTTTACCAGTCCAGTCCAGTCCGCGTTTTACCATATGCCTGGCCTAACGGCGCCCAAAAAGAATTCATGTGGTGTTTCCACTTTACAAAAACAAAAATTATTGATGTGCGAGATTTCGCAACAGATACTGTAGAATAAACGCAAAAACATGAAAAAAAAATTAGATTAACCCATCTAACCCACCCTTATTGGAAGAGATGGAGTCTTTTGAATAGAAAAAACTGCTACATCTTTCTCGCAGGGATTTGTTTTGCCAAACCAATCAGTGCTTCATGTCAGTATATTTCATTATTGTCAAGCAATGTTTGCGCTAAGATGGTAAAGCCGGTTTTCCACTTGCGAATTTTTTCGCGCGAAGCGAATTTTTCATTTGTCTTTGGTCTCTCAACTGGAACCATCTGCAACTAATTGGATAAAGACAAAAGAAAAATTCGATTCGCTTTTTAAAATTGGTACCCACTATTTTCCTAGTTGGACTACCTATTTTTAACCAAAAAAATGGTACGGTACCAAAAATCGAGCGTAGTGTAAACAGGGTTCAAAATATAGGTAGTCCAAGAACCAAAAAAGTGGTACGGGTACCAATTTATCCGTGCTTCTCAAAAGGGGGGCGATATTCCTAGGATATTCGCCCCCGGGGCGAATCTCCTAGGAATATCGCCCCCCTTTAGGATATTCGCCCCCATATAAATACACAGGTTAGGCTTCTTAGCAGCTGGTGGTGTGCACAGTCGGCATAACCACTCATTTGAAGTACTTATACTAGTGTCATATTTTACACATCCAAAGTGGAACCATTTCCCACAGAGATCGCATAAAATCATGTTGTCGTATTCTTCTGGCAGTTTACATTCACGTAAGGTTTCGATTGTGACATTGTTGTGTTGTCTTGGCTGTGTTGCTGGCTGTCGACGTGTTGGGGGGAAGTGGGTCAGTTCTCGCTTCTCGAAACAGGAGAGAAGATGGCTCCTCATTTTCTTTTGGTCAAAGCGTACCTCGTGTATTGGGAGGTTTCCAACCGCTAATTCAAACGCGAAGGCGATAGCAAACAAACCACAGTCGACTGATCCTGTCTGGGTCTGAACAGGTGGGATATCCACTTCCAAACGTCCGAACTCGTCAATTAAAGTTTGGTAACATTGTGCTAGTTGAACTTTGGTTGACCCTGCCAGGTCATCGTATAGGCTATCGCAGACTTTAACATAACCGCCTGTCAATGTCAACAACATACAAATTTAGGTTAAATTTATCCAATCGAAAAGCCACTATATACAGTTTATTTCGTCCATGAAGAGTTATCAGGTTATAACATGTTTGTGTGATGTTACTCTGAGTGTATATCCACACCGGGGCAGGCTTGAAAAATATGCCTGGCCACGGCGGGATTCGAACCTACGACCTTTGGAATACTAGCCCAATGCTCTTCCAACTGAGCTACGCGGTCAGGACGGTTCGAGTAAGCGATATTTCGGAACTGAGTCTAGTCGCGATATTTCGGAACTTATTCACCTGAGTACATTACACCAACACAGCAGATTTCAGGTTATAACAAATTTGGATTTTTTCAAATTTCAAATGATTCTTAACAGATAAAACATATAGTGACCTTTTAAGGTAAACTTGTATTAAGCGGCCCTGTCTGCAGGTTTGACTGTGTATATATCAATATACACGTATAGAGTCATTGAACATGCATGGTTAGAACTATATTAGATTAATATTTAACAAATATAAAACATTTTCCGTGTTGATATACAGTTATATCAACTCGAGTGGGAATTGGGAAAACTCGAAATTGTGTTTTCCCAATTTCCACGAGTGTTGGTATAACTGTATATCAATACGGAAAATGTTTTATATTTTTTTATAATATAGCACAAAGAAATAAATATAATTAAAGAAAGACATTTTCCGTGTTGACATTGAGTTATTGAGTTATATCAACACTGTTCTTAGCCAATCAGCGTTCAGAACTTACAAATGCTATATTATAAATATATATATATATATATATATATATATATATATATATATATATATATATATATATATATATATATATATATATATATATATATATATATATATATATATATATATATATATATATATATATATATATATATATATATATACCTGTCGATGACGATGTAATCCAATTGGTATGCTCCAGTGTTATGGATCTGTATTCCTTCATCCTGTGTGGTCACGAACGAGGTTTGGGATAAGATGGTGTCCTGTAAGCTACTAATGTGTGGAAACTTTTTCTTTAATAGTTTTCACACAGCGTTCAGATGACGATCATTCAGCATTCTTGGAGATTTTAGTATCGTCTTCTCTTCGTTCTTTAAACTGAGTTCTTTGATCCAATATTCGCCAGACGTTTCTTTAATTTTATGAAGAAGAAAAAATACTAGTAAGTTCAACTTCAAGATACATAGCACATTAAGTGTATCGGACTCATGTAACGAAAGGCTGAACTGAAAATGAAACACTTAAATTTGACTTTAACAATAACATATTTTATTTTCCTAAATGTTATCGCAAAATTGCAGCAAAAATTTTCTCGTACAATAGTGTCCCACCATGACTAAAGCAAGCCAACCTTCAATAATATAATGATATTATATAGCTAATACTCCTAATTCCATAGTATTGCTTACAATTATACATTATTTACTCATTAGCTACCTTCAAATGGTTGTCTAGAAAGAACTTTCAGAGGTTGATTCTGCTTTGTCTGCACTTCACCCGCTTTAAACTCTGGTCTGGCAAAATCTTTCTGGGGTTGGGTCTGCTTGATGCTTGGTACATATGGCTTGAGCACTGCTGCGTTAACTTTCTTCTTGTTCTCGATGCCTGTTGAACAGTTCTAATAAGGAAAAAACATTCTATAATTTCAACATCAATTCTAATCCATGCATGGAAATTACATGCATGCATGGACAAACCTTAATTTTGAAAACATTTTTTCCTAAACAATCGACAACGTCATAGGGTCCTAGCCACTTGGCTTCCAATTTCCCTCCTTTACGCGAATCTTTTCTACTGTTTCTCAGCAGCACAAGTGATCCTTCTTTAAATTCCTACAAATGTAAAAAAAATTATGAACATTGTAAATTATAATAAAAAATTGCTTATTCTACGGTATATGCATGCAGGGACAAATTACCCAGTTTACTCTAGTGTTTTACCTGTTTAGATGCGCCATGCTTTGCGTCGTATAGCTTTTTCTGTTTGTCTTCGCTTTCTTTAACGTTATCTACCACTTTACCGTATGACTTGCGAAGGTCTGCAAGTTCTTCTAATCTTTCTTCCAACGATCGTTCCTTGCCTTCTGGTACAATTTCCATCTGTATTGGAAGACGTGCTTCGCGTCCAAACATCAAGTAGAATGGTGTATGCTTCGTTGTTGCTTGGACCGAGGCGCGATAGGAGAACAAGATATCGTCAATGGCCTCGTCCCAGTTGTCTTGTTTTTCGTTGACCGCCTTGCGTAGTGCTCGTTGGATGGTCTGATTAAAACGTTCATCCAGGCCATTACTTTGAGGATGGTACGCAGATGTTATTCGATGCTCTGTCCCTGTAATATTAGCCAGATATATAGACGTCGAAATAACAACCCATGAAACTGAAAATGGTGTCCTATACCTCCTGGTCCACGAGTGCTAATTCCAATAGAAGAATACTAATAGTATACATACAAAGAAAATATACTGTACTAGGCTACTAGCTACCGCATACAGTACCTGTTATTTGATGCAGCTCTTTACTAACTTGGTTAACAAATTCACGGCCTTGGTCAGATATCTGGATTTCTGCGCACCCATTTCTTGTCATCGTCCAATATATAAAATCAGCAACGCAACGAGCTGTTTTGTTTGGTATTCCTCTAGCTTCGGGCCATTTGGTGAAGTAATCGCACATGGTAACGATATATGTATTACCATTCTTTGTCTCTGGCAGAGGGCCGATCAGATTAATACCAACCTGAACAAATATCGAGTAAAAACGTGTAAAAAATTAAAGGTAAATCTTTAAGTTACCATGAACGATAGGTGGCCTTGTGCTATTACCTATACCATAGACTATCACTATCATGCAGCTCACATTCGACTCGAGTTCCCGGAATAACCACTAAGACTAAGTATAGTATCACAGTACAAATCTCATATATATGTAATATGGAATGTAATATGTCCAGGAGTCAAGAGTGATTTTTTTTTGGGTTAATTTATCAGGTACACCAGAAAGAGAAATGGATACTACATACTTGTTTCCATGCTCCTGAAGGAACAGGGATTGGAAGAAGAGAAGGCACAGTCTTTCTTAATTTTGGGTTGGTTTTTTGGCACTGATGACAGGAGATAAGGAAATCCCTAATATCTTTCACCATTCCGTTCCAGTAAAATCGCTCCTCAATTTTCTGCACTGTTTTGTCTCGTCCAAAATGTGCATTACCAGAACCTTCATGACATTGGCTATGGAGTATGAATTAGTGTAAACCATTGAACTATAAGTAAACTGGAACGATAACTCCTATGATAAAGCCCGCCCCCTGATCAAAATGGCCTAATTTTGGTTGTGGGTTACATTTTTAACGTAACTTTATTTAGTAAAAATTCGGGAAGCCATTTTGTGTTTGAGATTATGGAGTTTTTACTTGTATATTAAGCCTTGTTTCCTTCTTTTAATTAGTCGAACTTGGCTGGTATATTAATGACCTTTATATTGTTTTTCGACATGTTTTTCAACTCTTTTAAAACTCAAGTATTATTTTTCAAATCATTCTTTGGAGTTCGCAACACAGCATGGGTATAGCCTCGTTGTCTCTGACTCTGAGCGAATAGTCAATTACTCGGCTTCGTTGTCTATTTGTTAAATGTTGATAACAAAATAACATGTAAAAGAAAACAATGAACCATTTATTATCTTACCGAATAATTCGTTGCTGTGTTTTCTTGTCGAAAATAACTTGGCGTCGTGCTTTTCTGAGATTGTTTCTGCTTCCGCGATAATACAATATACCATCATCTAAACAAATTAAAAATCTGCGGCTTTTTTTCTGAGATCTCGCTTCTGCTGCTTTGTGTAATTCTCTGGATATTCTTGTCGATCAAGATAAGTCAAAATATCTGCCATTCTTACTAGTATACTTGCAGCTTAATTTGTGATAGTAGCCGATCAATTTTTCCGATATGTCTTTAAAAGGCTATGCCAAGTGATTTCTGTTTATATCTTTTGCACTTTTATACTTATAGCCATTCAATCATTGCATGTTTACGCCACTTTTATTATAATAATATCAATAACATATTATAAAAACAATCGCTTGCAAATTTTATCAATAGCAGTGTTAACATTAATAGCCGCCACAGTACGTAATTAATCACTTGCTGACAATAAACTATGAGATTAATAAAAAATCTATGGAATGTGTTGCGAAGCGTATTGACTATTGTCCATTGAATCGTCAACTTTCCATATCAGTGTCAGTGATGTAATCTTGATTCTTGACTTCCGCAAAAAAAATTGCATGATATATATGTGGTGTGGTTTATTCAAATAATTTCATGATACTTTGATTTTATTAGTGCCTTAAACATTTGAGATGTAACTCTTTTTTGAAATGTAAATTATTGGAGTATACTATTGCCTATTAGCAAGTTCTACCCTTCAGCTTCGCTTCTGAGATTTACAAACTAGCCTATATTGAAATAATGCAAGTAAAAAATAGTGACAACTTATAAGCCAAAACGTGGATGCAAAGCAATTTTAACAAACAGTTTAATAATCTTTTTTAGTATAAATTTTGCATATCAAATGAGCTTTCGCGCGTTCTGATTGGCTAGTTGACTAGTAAATCTGAGGCATTATTTACCACCTGGGTAGTAAACAATGCTTTTCAAAAAGAATGATTCGGCAAATTTGGTTTCAAAATCGACAAAATATTGAAAAAATCGTCCCAGAAAAAGAAAAAAAGCACAAAATGTTGTATTTAACTTGAAAGGTAGGATTTAGTATTATATTACTGTGTCAAACATATTCACGGACAATTTAAAACTTATTTAAAACTCCGAAACATTCGCTTCAAACGTAAATCTGAAATGGCAAAAAATATCCCAACTTTTGGGAAAAGCCGTGATATTCTTTTTAAAACAATTTTGTTTTGTATCCTATAAATATCTCAATTTGTACGATACTATTTCTTTTGACTATGTCGTATTTTCATTGTGCTGTATGGTGTCCTTTCGCTCTATTGTACTATTTGTGTTTTTAAAACTTGTAAAGTGAAAAGTGTATTAAAACTTTTATATTAATTCGAACGATATAGTTTTACATTTCATTTTACCAAATTTCTCAGCCATTTCCTGAACAAATTAATGCTAAACAGAAACTATTTTTTAATTCTAAGTCTGGTAAAAAAGTCATCCATCATTGTGTTTATATTCTAAGCAGAAATCGAGAAAAATAACTTTGTAATAAAGCAATAAAGTCGCACAGGAAGCCATTTTGAAAGCGTGCGTGTACAAGAAACACTGCAACACTAAACCGTAAACCGGTCGAAAACAGTTTTATTTCTGAATTTTAATTAAACTTATAGTTGGATATCTTGGATATTTTGTTTTATTCATTAAAAATTTATACTAAAACAATTATTCGCCTCAGGCTCAGTGATTACGGTGAATATTCACCTCGACTTCGTCTCGGTGAATATTCACCGGTAATCACTTCGCCTTCGGCGAATAATTGTTAAATATTATATATTTATAAATGCATTTTCAAAATATTTAATATATTTAATAATGCTCAAACAGCTCAATTTATACGACGAAATGTTTCTGGGCCTTGAATGGGTATGACACGTTGTACATACTAAGACCTAAGGCTAAGTCTATTTTAATAGTTTATATTTTGAAGTGTGTGTTTCAGTGTTTGCAACATGGCCATAGGAAAATAACGACACGCTGAGCCTGAGGCGAAGGCATACAACCTCAAATTTGCATTTATTGCCTAATGTGTTACTGAATACTGACTACTGAGTACTGTTGATAATAACAATGAAACTATTTCTTCTATAAACACGGTGGTATAGTACTAAATACCTTAAACACGATCTATATACAAGAATTACCTAACCAATTCAATTATTTTCAATCAATAATGACAATATGAATGAATAAAGTTTGTGAATACTGCGGCATCGGTATAGTCTAGAGACAAGTAGATTTTTAGTGCTCTTTAAGATGAAACTAAACGGTTTGATTATAAAAAAACATATACTATATAGCTAGTTTATGCATGTGTCAGTTAAAAAAAACAAGTTTTGACAATACCAATAATTACAATAACCACCACGGTGATTACTTTTCAACAATGAGTTTAAGGATTAACCAGTACTGAAAATGCAAAACATGCATGGTGTGCTGTGAAGCGTCATAAGTCTTATTGATCTACTCTAACTATTAAAGCCCTTTCGATACATGCGAATTGTAAATTTGTATTCTTACCGGGCTTGAAATAACGTTCCCAAAGTTCCCGATCATGGTGATCGGCAGTCATGACTTTCCCTGCTTTTTCAGGTTGGAAACCGAAACCCTGCTTTTCCGCCGATCATACGCAATTCCTTGCCGATCATTGATCGGTGTTCGGTTGTTATTTCAAGCTCTGTCTTAACAATTTTGAATTGATACTGATTTCAAATGATTAATTAAAGCCATGTAAAGCCCTGATTCCACGAGCGCTTTTTGTCAGCGAAATGCGAAATATTTCGCCTGTTTCTTTTGAATTGTGAGCAATCAAGTAGAAATAATTTATTCGAGTGGTCGCAATTCAAAAGAAACAGGCAAAATATTTCGCATTTCGCTGACAAAAAGCGCTCGTGGAATCTGGCCTTAATAATTATCCCATGCAACTGTTGGGAAGGGCGAAATTTTGAACGGAGGACGAAGATCCTAAAGAAAAGGTGAAGTTTCTAAAGGGGGGGGGGCGAATTTCCTAAAGGGGAGCGAAATTCCTAGG